TTTAGTTTCTTCGCTTTACAGATGAGGGGACTAAGGTCAAGGGACACAGTGATTTCCTAAAGGGCACATAACTTACTATCAGAGCCAAATTTTTTTCACCATAGCAGGTCTCAGCCAGGAAGAAACAAATCCTTCAGAAAAAAAAAATATCTTGCTCTTTTTTTTGCCCTTATCTGTGCTTGTCTTTTACTTGGAATAACCAGTCTTTATGAACAAATCACCTTCTGTGGGCTACTAAGAACTTGGAAATGAGAGAAGTTATATTGCCCTCTTAGGAGTTAATTATGCTATTAACAGCAGAGGCCTTCTTACCTACCAAAAAAATTCCTGGAGCTGTTGAAAAGCATCCCTCACTTTGGTGATTAAACTGTTAATGTGGGCTGTAATAATAGGTTAAGTCACATGTCAATGTTGTGACATTGGTCAATGATATTAGCATATCTAGAGAGATAAGAGGATTTCAGCATAAGAGTTTGAACTGCAAATATAAAACAGGAGCAGGACAGCCAAGGTAGGAGTTGACCTGTATCCTGCTCAGAACAAGGGAGAGGAAAGCCCAGCTGGGGTGAGAATTTCATTCCCATCATCAAGCATCTCCCTTGGGTGCTTCAGTTTTGCATTTCCTTGGGCTCCTGGTTTTCTTCTGACCTCTCAGGGCACTCATTCTCTCATCTACTTGCTCCTGCCTGCTCTCCCATCTGACTTCTACATAGTAGAGTCATTAAGACCTTCATTGTCTTCTCACTGGATACTTTGTCCCAAGGTGATCTCATTCATTCATTCATGCTGATGAATTCCCAGATTTCTAGCTCTATCCAAGGTCTCTTTTCTTTTTTCTTTTGTTTTCTTTTCTTCTTTTCTTTCTTTTTTTCTTTTCTTCTTCTTCTTCTTCTTCTTCTTCTTCTTCTTCTTTGAGAGAGAGAGAGAGAGAGAGTGAGAGAGAGTGATAGAGCTCATAGAGGGACAAAGGGACAGGGAGAGAGAGACTCCATGCCCAGCAGTGCAGAGCCCAACACTGGGCTCAACACAACCCTGAGATCACGACCTGAGCCAAAATCAAGAGTCAGATGCTTAACAGACTGAGCAACCCAGGTTCCCCTCTGACTCAAATTATCTATCTGTCTATCTATCCATCTACCTACCTATCTATATCATCTATCTCCAACTAGATGTCAGAGGATTGTCATAAATACATGTGTAAAAGTCTATTTATCTATCATCATCATTTATCATCACCTATCTATCTCCAACATCACAAGATTGTCATAAATGCAAAAGGCCTAAAATTATATTCTTGATCTCTTTACCTGTCCTCCCCAGTATGGTCCACCTTTAGATTTCCCCAACTCAGAAAATGGCATCTCCATTGCCCAGCTGCTAAAATCATCAATTTGGTTGTCATCCTTGAAATCCCCCTCCTCCTCTCCTTTCATCACCTTTCAATCCATCACCTAATTACATAGTTACATATATATAAATATATTTCTTGAAGCCAGCAGCTATGCTTTGTCTTCACTACCACAGTCCTGGTATATGCCACTCTCTTCTTTACCTAGAAGACTATGATAGATCCTAGTCTCCCTCCATTCATTCATTCTTCTACTTTAATCCATGTAGTAAATAATCATTTAAAAATAGATTGTATCATCCCTCCTGTCTGCTTCGAACATGTTAACGCCCATTGCTTCCCTCTTCATCTTTAACTTGAATCCTTCTCCCTTCTTGTACATTCCAGCCCCAATGGCTGCCTTCCTCCTCTGGGCTGAGGGTTTCCTGTCCCAGATCCTTATCCATCTTGTTCACTCTGCTTAGAATTATTTTCCTTCCCACAATCCTTCTCTTCCCAATCACTCTCAACGTCTATTAATTCTTCAGTCTATTTTTAAGTGTCATAGAGACAGAAAGGAGAATGGCAGTTGCCAGGGGCTAGGGAGTTATTGTTTCATGGGTATAGAGTTTGTTTTATAAGATTAAAACACTTATGGAGAAAGATGGTGGTGATGGGGGCACAATACATTGAGTGTGTTTAATACCACTGAACTGTACACTTAAGAATGGTTAAGATGGTAATTTTGTTATGTATTTTATCACAATAAAAAAATTGCTGTTCAGTTCAGGTGACAACTCAGACTCATGTGCCTTTTAATTCATGTGCACCAATCTCTGAGGTCCTGAGAACAGTGAATCTGTGCACTCTTAGACTTGAGGTCAGGGCCTGGGCACGTTAATTCACTAATAAATATCACCCATGAAGCTTTGTTGGAGTCAGCCTTGCAAACCTTTTTTCCTTAGTGACACTTGGCAGCATTACTGACTTAAGCTTATCTTTTTTGGGGGAATATCTGTGTGAGTAATTCAGAAAGTATTGCCAAATTATTGCCAGTTATTAAAGATAGCATCTTCCAAATGCAGTTATCATCTGCATGTGCCACTAAGGATATTAGCCAGACTAGGGCAATTTCAGGCTAGGACTTCTAAACTGTTCAGTCAGAACAGTAACTGTAACTGGATTTTATAAGCTTTCCTGTAACTGGATTTTATAAGCTTGGGAAATTTGATTGACAATATGCTAATGGGTCCAATACTTTTAGGACAAAACAGAAGTACTACAGAATTGAAGTGCTATTTTTTTTTTTTTTTTTAGAGAGAGCGAGAGAGAGCTCAAGTTGGCAGGGTTAGGGGGGTGGGAGGGGAGTTGCAGAAGGAGAGAGAATCTTGAGCAGGCTCCATGCCCAGTACGGAGCCCCACACAGGGCTCAATCCCATAACCCTGAGAATATAACCTGAGCTGAAACCAAGAGTTGGACACTCAACCAACTAAGCCACCCAAGTGCCCCAGATTCTTGGATTCCCAGATTCTTGAATCTTAATAGATTCTTGATAATAAACCTTAGCAATAAATGTATTGCTTTTCTACATGTCAGGGACTATGTTGTTATATACATATTCTTTCATTCCATTCCCATCCCAACTCCACAAAGCATGGCTATAGGTCATCAACCCCATCTTATAGACTAGGAAAACATATCTTACAAAGATTTTGAAGCAGTTAGTTAAGTGCTGAGCTGGGATGTGAACCCAAGTCCACCTGACTCCAGTGCTTGGGCTCATAAGCACTAGAAGAGATGACCTTCTCCTGACTTGATCATGCAGCTAATTGCTGTGTTATCAATTGCTTTGTTTAGTAGCCAAAATCCCTATCCTCTGAGTCTAGTGTATATCATGATAATAATGCCAATGGGTCATTAAAATATATGTTGGGACATCATTAATTTATTCAACAAAGATTTTTTGAGCATCTTTTATATACCAGCTATGAGGAAGATTCTAAGGATGCAGAAGAAAAGATAGTCCCTTTCCCCCCAGAAGCTTGTAGTTTTGTGAGAAATGGCCGATAATCACATACACACAATACAGTATAGCAATTCTGGAATAGGACAGAGTCTGAGGAATCAGAAAGGGGTGTCAGAGACATGTATTGTGATCCAACTCTTGAAGAGAAGATTTTCTCCAGGCAGATATGCAGGAAGAATAAGAAAAGGGCAGAGGAAACAATGTACAAAACTTTGGGGGTGGGGCATCAGTATTATAGGAACGCCCATCACAGTGGGGAGGAGGGGAGCATTTCAAAGAACTCAGCCCAAAGAGTTCACAGGCAATGGGCCAGAACACATCAGATTTTTATTCTAGTCAGAGCTCTTTTAAATAGGAATAAAACTCAAGTCAAACTAGATACAAGAATGAAGTTTGACCTTTTAGACTCAAGTGCCTGCTCTCATTCATGACTCCAAAACATAACAATCACAAGGCTGAAATAACTAGAATATTTTTTGCATAACTACTGATTTTGAATTATTTAAGAATGAGTATGTATAGCAATCATTTCACAAATAAAATACTAATCTAAACATCTTATCCTTCATTGTGGCAGATAAGGGTGGCTGTACCAGCAGAGCCACTAGACAAAAGGAGACTGGAGTCCCTGAGTGACTGCATGGAACACAGTACCCCCTGCTCCATTCATATAGGACAGTAATATAAATGAGAAATCTATGTTTATCAGGCAAATAAGATTTGGAGGTGGTTTGTGTTTGGAGGTAGTTTGTGGAACTAGGGTTTCTGACTTAGAAAATGCAAACAGGAATGACATGCACCTTTTCTAGATTTGACCTGTCCCTTCTCCCTGAGAACTCTGGAGAGAACAAGGCCTGCCACTCCATAAGTCTGGGTCCTTGAGCAACTGTGTGCAAAAGAGTTCCTACTCATTTATTCATAGCATGTTATTATTGTACATTTTGGGGTTTATTGTTACAGCTATTAGCCTACCCTAAATAGCAAGCAACATTCTGGATAATCATTATCCTTGGTTTTATATCTGCTCTAAGGTAATAAAAAATACAGAAATGATTTTCATAAAAAGATGTGAAAAAACTTGAAAGTGAGTTTTCAAAAACGTTTGTATATAACCATTTTTAATTAATTAAAGTTTTTCTACAATGCTCTCAAGTTCTGTTTGTGTGAAAATTTTTTTTAAAATGCCATTTTTTATTGTCCATATAAATCAGTGTAAGCAGCAGATATTATTGCTCTGATATTTTATATTTCGTGTTTTACTGAATTTCTCTAATTTAAAATTTCACACAAGGATATTTTCTTTTTAGACTTTCCTTATATGCTCATTGAGTTGAAGACAGCTCTACTCACATAAACTCATTGCTTGATAATCTAACCTTAAAAATGGAAACTTTAGAATTCACAAATAGATACATAGGACCAAAAAGGAAAAGTAAACAGCCCATTTTAGTGAAACACACATAGTGAATTATGGAATAAAGCATTTTGATTAGCAAAGTTTTTAAAAGTCGGTATGGTATGCCCAGAAGAAGGCTCTTCTCTTTCATCATCCTCCACAATGCATTTTATAAGTTGTCTTCTTGATTTTATGTTACTTTCTTCATTCCTCTCCCTCCAAATGTAAGCCTTTTGGCAGATTATGGACATGAAAAGCATTTGCAGTTGGGAAGAGCTGCAAATGACATGCGCTATCAGAGTGTACGTGCCGTTAAATGTGTGGGAATATTAAGCAACATGTAGAAAACACTGGAGTAGTAAGAAAGCATACACCACTATGTGCAATTCAAAATATTTATCCATTTTTAATGTTCTGTTCTTTGTATCATGCAGTGCAGAATCTGAAGTTCTGAGTGCTGACTTTATTCTTCAGCCCCCAGAAATTTATATTCATGCAAAACAAGTATGTAAAAATAATGGATCACACTACAGAATGGAACACGCCACATCCAACTTTCCTTTATACGTGGAAAACCTAATGCTGTGTTAAAAACAAGTTTTCTCTCAGGTAAGTAGAATAATTCGATGACCCTTGAATCATTGCCTATGCATTTTGGTAAAGACGATTTTTATTCTCTTCACAGTATTTTCCTCTTTGAAAAGCAAAGTTTCATTTTGATCCTTTCCAGGGTTTTTTTTTTCTCCCTATGTTAAAACGACTATATTTTTAAAAATCTATTATTACTTATTGGCAATATAAATAATTTTGTGCTTTTCAATAATGCTGATGTCATGCTCCAGCTGCTTCATCTCTTCTTCCAGCTTCTGCTTGCGGATCTTCTTTGGGATGGAATCGATGAATACCGAGAGGGACTGGAACTCCTTATGCACCTCTTCCCAGTTCTTCTTCAGCCCCTGCAAATGGTAATGAGAACCATAAATATTAGGTAACGGCAAAAGCAATGTAAATGGTTAAAAAAATAGTGTCCTGGTGAAGAAAAATGTAAAATAGGTAAAAGAAACTGATGAAAATAACTTTACAAAACGATTATGTATGTATCGAGTACTTGGCTCCAGTCACAGAAAATATTGTGCAGAGGCAAAATCCTGTCCTCGATTGTGTGCTCAGTTCCCAGAGGGAGTATTTATTTGCTGTTTTTAATGTTACCATTACTGTTGTTTTTGCCATTAAATATGCATATGCAGTTATGAGTAGTGTGAAACTAAGCTCATGGCAAATGCTTTGGTAAAAACAACTGAGAATCCTTTTTTCCCCCACCCCACTATCACCCCCTCCCCAAGAGAGACATGTTTTTGAATAGGAAATTATTTCTTTAAAAATTTTAGTTTCTATATTTAGAATTTTATTTTGAACCACTATCCCCATTCATCAAAAGACTTGATTTGGACTTGCATGGCATATTTGCTTATATTCGACTAAATGGAACTGCACAAAATGCCAAAATTCAATTAAACAAGAGATGATCCTTTGTGTATTTTTTCAATATATTAGAAAGAACTCTTCCTAGAGTCAAGGGGTCTATACTTCTCATTAATGTATACCAGAAATGACTGGGATGTCATTAAATGTAACCCGCATGCTAATTCAGTAATGTAGTTAATGTTTTATATTCTCAGAAACCGACCAATTCAAAATTAGGGATCTCTAAGGAGCAATAAAGGTTATTTTCATCTGCCTATTCCCCATTTCTTATCACAGTGACTAGAGGTCTCATTGACAAAATGGGCTGAAACCTCTAATTGAATTCGAGCAATGAAATTTTTTGCAAAATTAACACTTCCTGTTATTCACTATGGGTACACAAATCATTTCTTTTACATAAAAACAAGAAGTCAAACTGAAAGTAGAATTTAAAATATTACCTTGAAAATATGGTCCTTGAAATCCATGGCTATATATTGAGGTGTAAGAGAGGATTAGAAGTGTCTTATATAATAACACTTTTCTAATAAGCCCTCATAGTACAAATTTACCTAGTAGAAACTTCTGGAAGATAATAAAATTTCAGTGGTTTATTCCTATGCCTAGGTAAAAATGATGATAGGGATAGGGCACACTGTATATACTAGGTTGGCTGGGGCAAAGGGGAGCAGAGTTTGAACTCTTATTGAGTGAGACTAGAGGAAAGATTTAAGGAAAGGATAAGACAGGGAAAATACCCAGGTTACATTTTGAAAAGAGGAGGATGGGACAACACAGTTCTTAATAGTGTATGAGATGTATTCCAAAAAGATGTCCTCAGAAGAATTCTTTTTTCATAGCCTTTCATTATGAAATGAAAAATATGTTTCCACAGTGCTCCACAGGGGTGCCTACTGCAGAGAGGAAATCTATGCATTTATATACTTTCAAATATCAAAGGTTTTTCATAGCTACTTGAGTGATATTTCCACATTACTTGTGGTCACAGCAGCTACACTCTTTCACTGGAGCCTTAATCTTTTAAAGGATAGTTTGCTTTATCTTCCAGTGTGTACAAAAACATTTGGATCAAAGTCAACAGGCAGGAATGGGAACTAAATGTAACCAATATATTATATTGAAATAGCCTCTCTGCTGTTTTTAAGACTGATTTTTGTTATTTTATCTAAAAAAAACTTTTATTCATTACAGGAATAGTCATTTTCCTTTTTTAAAAAAAATTAGCTTTTCATTTTATTTTATTTTTTTTATTCTTAGTTTGGTAAAAGCTAATAAGGGAGAAGCAGTCATAAAATAAAGGAGAAGCAGTCATAAAATAAGTAAGAAGTGCCTTAGTTCCATGCTCCTTCTGTATCCACCATACCCTCATCCATTCTCTGCCTTTTTGTCCTGCCCTGGGACCAGGGCCAGGGTGTTGTGGGGTGGAGGCAGGGGTTCATCCTTGTAGGTTGGCTCCTTACATCATCCCCCAGCTCCGTTGCCCTCTAGCCACTGAGTTCAGCACTGGTGGGGGCAGAGAGAGGTTGGGGCATTTCTTCTTCCTCTCCCTTGATATTTCCTGGACAGTAGTTCTGGCTCACCTGTCTGTAACTGCAACACTGCTCAGTGGCCTCTCTTCGAGGCTCCAGATCTTACCAGGCTCTGGTAACACTACTTCTTGCCTCTGCCCCTCGAGCCTAGGGTGGTGATGGATTCCCACTGTCCTTAGACCTGAGGTGCTTCATTGTTTTTTGTTGGTTCCCTTGGCCCTGATTTACTTCTGTAAATAGTTCCTTCTTAAATACCCTTCAGAATCCTGGCTGATGGTGCCTGTATTTCTTGCTGGATCTCTGAGCTTCCTTTTGTTACTTCCATTGCACCTGTGTACAATGTAGTGGGAAAGCACTGGCATAGGAATTGGCTGATGTGGGGTTTTAGTCCTTTTTTAGCTACTAGATAATTTTGCGACCAAGGGCAAATGTAAACCAAACTCTGGTTTCACTGACAGTAAAGACTGCCATTTGTCTTGCTCACAACATTATCCCCCGGACTGGATACAGAGCCTGTTCAAGTAAATGAATCGATAAATGAACAAAACTTAATAAACTTGCATTTTATATCCTCATATGTAAAATGAGAAGTGTGGAATCATTAGACTACATGATCCTCCAGGTATAATGAGACAATTATTTTATGAAGAATGAGCAGAATGTGGCCTACTCAGGAACATACAACTATATTGTCATAGTGCTGTGTGCAACTCTTAACCAGGGAGGGAAACATGATTCAGGGCTTCTCAGGAGCATAGCTGGTGGCTTTGTTACCATGGCAGCTATATTTCCTGGCTAATAAGGCATATAAGGAAGGGTCTGCTATTGTCCTTTCAAACTCTGCAGTGACCATATTAGGAAACCGAGGACTGCTTATCCACTATAGCCAAAAAGACATGGGACAGAAGAGCCTTTTCCTTCTGAGGGAAGTTCTTCCTCTCTTCTTCTTTTTTTAAATATAACATTCTATCAGTTTCATATACATAATATAATGATTTGATATTTGTATACATTGTGAAATAATCAGCGTGAGTCTAGTTACCATATCACTGTACAAAGTTACAAAATATTTTTTCTTGTGATGAACACTTCCAAGATTTATCTTTTTAGCAACTTTCAAATATATGATACAATATTACGACTACAATCACCAGAGCATACATCTCCAGACTTATTTTTATAAATGGAAATTTGTATCCCTTGATTTCCTTAACCCATTTCATCTACTCCCCAACCTCATTTACTTCTGGCAATCACCACTCTGGTCTCTGTGTTTATGCTTTTTATTTTGTTTTGTTTGTTTTTCAGATTCCACTTACAAGTAAAATCGTACTTCTGTGTGACTTATTTCACTTAGTATAACACACACACACACACACACACACAGATATATATGCCACATCTTCCTTATCCATTCATACATCGATAGGCACTTAGGCTGCTTCCATATCTTGGCTACTGTAAATAATGCTGCAGTGAACAGAGGGAGGCATATATCATTTCAAATTAGTGTTTTTCATCTAGATAAATACCCAGAAGTGGAAATCACTGGATCATTTGGTAGTTCTATTTTTAATTTTTGAAGAACTTCCATACTGTTTTCTGTAGTGGCTGCATCAATTTACATTCCTACCAACAGGGCAACAGGGTTCCCTTTTCTCTACATCATCACCAACACTTGTTATTTATTGTCTTTTTGATAATAGACATTCTGACAGGTATGAGGTGATGTTTCATTGTGGTTTTAAATTTGCACTGTCCCAATTAGTGATGCTGAGCTTCTTTTCATGTGCCATTTGGCCATCTGGCTGTCTTCTTTGGGAAAATATCTACTCAGATCCTCTGCCCATTTTTTAATTGGATTGTTTGAGGGTGTTTTGTTGTGGTGGTGGTTATTGCGTTGCATGAGTTATTTATATATTTTGGATATTAACTGCTTATCAGGTACATGATTTGCAAATATCTTCTCCCATTCAGGAGGTTGCCTTTTAATTTTGTTGATGGTTTCCCCTGCTGTTCATTTTTGTTTTTGTTGCGCTTGCCTTTAGAGTCAGATCCAAAAAAACTATTGCCAAGACTGATATCAAGGAGTTTACCACCTCTTCTAGCAGCTTTATGATTTCAGGTTTTACATTCAAGTCTTTAACCAATCTTGAGTTAATTTTTTGCATATGGTGTAAGATAATAGTCCAGTTTCATTCTTTTGCATGTGGTTGTCCAGTTTTCCAACACCCTTTTTGAAAAGAGTGTTCTTTTCTCATTGTATATTCTTGTCTCTTTTGTCGTAAATTAATTGACCATATATGCATGGGTTTATTTCTGGGCTCTTTATTCTTCCTCTGATCTATGTGTCTGTTTTTATGCCATTACCACACTGTTTTTTTAATTACTGTATCTTAGTAATGTAGTTTGAAATCAGGGAGTGTGATGCGTTCAACTTTGTTCTTCTTCCTCAAGATTGCTTTAACTACTTGGGATTTTTTGTGTGTGTGTGTGGTGCTATACAAGTTTATTCCATTTCTGTGAAAAATGCCATTGAAATTTTGATAGGCATTGAATCTACAGATTGCATTGAATCTGTAGATTGCTTTGAGTTATGTGGAAACTTTAACATTATTAATTCTTTCAATCCATGAACATGAAACATCTTTGAATTTAGTTTGCCTTCTTCAATTTCTTTCATCAATGTTTTATAAGTTTCCTGTGCACAGATCTTTCACCTCCTTGGATAGATTTATTCCCAGGTATTTTATTCATTTTGTTGCACTTGCAGTGGAATTATTTTCTTAATTTCTGTTTCTGATAGTTGTTAATGTATAAAAACACGACAGGTTTTTGTGTATTGATTTTGTGCCATGCAACTTTACTAAATTTGTTTACTAGTTCTAAGAAATGTTTGGTGGAGTCTTTATATATAAAATCATGTCATCCACAAATAGTGAGTTTTAGTTATTTTCCAATTTGGATGGCTTTTATTTGTTTTTCCTGCCTAATTGCCTTGTCTAGGACTTGCAATACTATGTTGAATGAAAGTGGTGAGAGTGAATATCCTTGTCTTGTCCCTGATATTAAGGAAAAGTTCTCAGTTTTTCGCTCTTCACATGATGGTAGCTGTGGGCTTGTCATAAACAGCATTTATTATGTTTAAACACATTCCATCTATATCCACTTTGTTGAGAGTTTTTATCATTAAACTGATATTGAATTTTATCAAATGCTTTTGTTGCATCTATTGAGATTATCATATGGTTTTTAATTCATTTTATTACTATGGTATATCATGTTGATTGACTTATGGATATTGAATCATCTTTTTATCCATGGAATAAATCCCACCTGATCATGGTAAATGATATTTTTAATGTACATATGAAACATTGAAATTGGCTTGCTAATATTTTGTTGAGGATTTTTGTATGTATGTTCAACAGGGATATTGGCCTATGAATTTTGAGTGTATACAGTGTCCTTGTCTGGTTTTGGTATCAGGGTAATGCTGGCCTTGTAAAATGAGTTTGGCAGCATTCCTTCATCTTCAATTTTTTGGAAGAATTTTAGGAGGATAGATGTTTAAATCTTTGAATGTTTGGTAGAATTCATCAGTGAAGCCATCTGGCCCTGAAGTTTTATTTGTTGGAGGTTTTCTGACTACTGATTAAATCTACTCACTAGTACTTGGTCTATGCAGATTTTCTACTTCTTCATGATTCAGCCTTGGAAGATTGTGTGTTTCTAGGAATTCGTCCATTTCTTGTAGGTTGTCCAAAATGTTGGCATAGAACTGTCCATAGTAGTTTTTTTTATGATAATTTGTATTCCTGTAGCATCAGTTGTAACTTTTTCTCTTTCATTTCTGATTTTATTTATTTAACCCCTCTCTTTTTTTCTTAGTGAGTCTAGCTAAAGGTTAAATTGGTTTATCTTTTTAGAGAAACAGCTCTTAGTTTCATTGATCTTTTCTAGTCTTTTTAGTTTCCATTTCATTTATTTCCCCTCTAATGTTTATTGTTTCCTTTCTTCTAGAACCTTGGGCTTCTTTTGTTCTTTTTCTAGTTCCCTTAGGTATAAAGTTAGATGGTTTACTTGAGATTTTTATTGTTATAAAATTCCCTCTTAGACTGTCATCCTATAGATTTTGGTTGCATTTCTATTTTCATTTGTCTGAAAATATTTTTTTAAACAATCTTATTTATTTATTTATTTAGCATGAGTGGGTGGAGGGGCAAAGGGAGAGGGAGAAAGAGAATCTAAGTGCAGAGCCTGATACAGGGCTTGATCCCACAACTCTGAGATCGAGCCAAAACCAAGAGTTGGACACTTAACCAACTGAGCCACCCAAAGTATTTTTTCTCTTTTTATTTCTTCATTGATCCATTAGTTATTAATCAGAATATTGTTTAATCTTCATATGTTTGTGATTTTTCTAGTTTTCTTCTTGTAATTGGTTTCTAGTTTTGTGCCATTATGTTTGGAAAAGATGCTTGATATGATTTCAATCTTCTTAAACTTATTGAGACTTGTTTTGTGGCTTCACATATGATCTATCCCGGAGAATGTTCTGTGTACACTTGAGAAGAATGTGTATTCTGGTGTTTTGGGATGGAATTTTCTATATATATCTGTCAAGTCCATCTGGTCTAATGTGTTGTTTAAAGCTGAGGTCTCCTTATTGATTTTCTGTCTGGATGATCTATCCAGGTGTCTTTCCCTGTTTTTCAGCATTGGTTAGATATAAAAACCTGGCTTTCACAAAAGCATGTACTTTTTAAAAATGGTAGAATCTAAACTGGAGAGAGATAAAGTGGGAGAAGGAGGAAAAGAAAGAGGAAGAAACAGGAAGAGGGAGGAGAGAGAGAATGGACCAAAACCCAGTACTCTCTGAAAATGACATCCAAAGTCCCATCTCCATGTATGCCAGCCTTTTTCCTTTCTTCTGTCCAGCACACACATATAAACATCTGTGTTTATAATGGGCACTGGGTTAGATACGAGGGAGACTTCTTTCAACAAAAAGACACAGTCCTTGTCCTTAGGCCTCTTCTGCTGTAGTGTAGAGCCCCGCTAACAACACGTACCTACATCATTCAGTGGATACTCTGTCTTAGCACCTGATAAAACTTACAGTCTCTACACACACACACACACACACACACACACACACACACACACTCATATCTACATATGTACATCTATACTTATTACTTTACATTCATTATATTACAACATTGTCTACAGTAGAATCTTATTTTATGCCCTTTTTAATATCCTTGAGGCTTAGCATGATAGTCTTTGCAAAAGAGGAATATAGTAAATGTTTACTAATGATTATGACATTGATAAATGTTAAGAATTTATAACAGCATACAAATACATTTTCAACAGAAGTTAATGTGGAAAAATTTTTCTGTTTTTTTAAAAGGACTTGGTAGAAATCTTTTAAAATAACAAAACAAGAATAAAGTACCATTTTTACCTCTGTAAGATATAGCATGATTATAGGAAAGTACAGTTAGGTGCTTAATAAATACTCTCTAAAGATGATGACAGAGCAACCCTGCTCACATCCCCCAATATTTTAAGTACTTCGGGTAAGAGTCTTACATTAAACACCAAAGGTCATATATCTTTAGGCCTATTTAACTTAAAATAAGGAAAATATATTTTAAAAACTCCTAACACTTGGATATTTTAAAATTTGGATATTTGGTTTATAAGAAAGAAAGAAAAGTTGGTCTAGGAACAGTTTCAATTATTCTAGAGCTCCATCTAGTGAAAAATATCTATTTTATGAGTATTGTTTTTTAAAAATTCAGGAACATGACAATGAAATAAAAATGCCTTTTTGCTTTCCTTACACATGTTCACAAAGGAGAAGGTGGGCTTCCTTACAGCACTAACTACCCCCCGGAACAAAACAAAGCTCACAAACTTGGAAACAAAATGTTATTCAATAATTCCTTTTTTAAAAAAGATTTATTTACTTATTCATGAGAGACACAGAGTGAGAGAGAGAGGCAGAGACACAGGCAGAGGGAAAAGCAGGCTTCCTGCAGGGGGCCCGATAGGGGACTCGTTCCGGAATCCCAGGATCACGACCCCAGGATCACGACCTGAGCCAAAGGCAGGGGCTGGACCCCTAAGCCACCCAGGCATCCCTCAAGAATTCTGATTACAACTTTTGCTCTCCTCACATAGTCAATGTGCTGTACTGTGAACGTTGCCATAACCCAAAGAGAGTGTTCTGATTTGAAAGACAAGGTACAGGCTTTCATAATTATTGATGATGGGCTGTTCTTTCAGAGATGTTCTAAAGAGCTACATATGAATATAAATTACAGAATTCTTACCTGAAGAACCGCCTCCCTTTCTTCATCAGAGAGCCTTTTCATAGCTGCTTTCCGAAGGTTTTCCTGGATATAATTATCATATTCTTCTTGGGCTTTCTTTACTTCCTCATTTCGCTTACATATATATTCAGGTGTGACACCATAATCCTTATAAGGATTTTTCAGAAAAAAAAATCAATATTCTGAATGCAATCTTAGCATGTGTACATATCAACTAATGACAAGGAGAAAAAGAAACGTTACTGATTTAAAGCCTCGGCTCAAAATATGGCAAATTGACAAAATTCAATGTTTTTTTTTTCTTTTACTATTGGGAACTAGTTGATTCTCATCTTTTAAAACCATCTGAATTGATACTGTGGCTGCTTGTTTTGTTCTCTTCTGAATGTTTCCGGCACCTGTTCCTGGCTAATGACTCTGTCCTTGCTTTACCTCTAAGAGTTAGCTTTTCTTCATTTCTTTTAGGTGCTTCAGCTTTTACCTTTACATATCCTGAGTATCCTAAGGTCTCTTTTGCAAAAAAAAAAAAAAAAAAAAAAAAAAAAAAAAAAAAAAAAAAGACCTTGTTAAATAAAAGGAGATAAATTCTTCCAAAGCATTGTAAGAAACAAATACATGAAGCTCGTCTCCTTTAAGTGAAAATTGACCTTGAACCCGTAGGTTGTTTTTGGAATACAAAATCCATTTTTAAGGCACCTGGGTTACTTGCAACGACTGACAGTGAAACAATCTGCTGTGATTCTTTCAGATCAACTATGATATCACTATGTACAGTAACAGAACTACTCCTTGTTTAATTTTCAAAACATTGAGAATTTACTTGATGCCAGGTATACTATAAATAAGAAGGGCAAAGTTTTTGTCCTTATAGATGTGCATTCTATGGTGGGAGAAACTTATCAAAAATAGAGTATAAAATAATATATGTATAAGTGCTCCAAACTGAAACAAAGAATAGTAAGGGGAAAGAAAGAAATAGGATCTACTTTAGATAAATAAGGAGGTCCAGTGAAAAACTCTGAGGAAGCAGCTGTTAAGAGGTATGATAGTCATTTAAATTATCCATAAATATTCTGGTTCTTCTCCTTCTAGGCAGTTGATAGGATAACACTTTCCTGATTCTCTTGAAATAAGTAAGATGTGATCATGTGATCTGACTTGCCCAAGGAGAGAGAAAGTGACCTCTGTCCCTTTTGGGTAGAAACCTCAAGAATTTATGGATGACTTGCCATGTTCTTTTTCTGTCTAATATAATGATAGGAAATGTTTTAGATGGCCTGAGTCCTGGAATGAGGACAAGAAGCAGAGCTTCCAACCCTTAATAGACATGGAGAATAAACAAACAATAAAACTTAGTTGCTTTTAGCTACTAAAATTGGGGGTTATCTGTTACCAAAGCATAACTTAACCCATCCTGGCTAAAAAAAGGATAGATATCCTAGCTATAAACATGTCCTGGCAAGTTGCAAAACACTCTACAAATAAATTCTAAGAGCACAGTATTCTGGTAAGTTAGTGCAGTGGTAAACAGTCCAATTCATTTCAGGAAACACTGAGGGCAAAACCTCGCTACAGCTCAGTAGTTACTGAAACTCATAATGATGATTCTGAGTCATCACAAATTATTAAATTATGTTTGGTATACTCTGTTTAATAAAGGGAATAACGTAATACATTTTAGGAAAAAGAACTATCTCACAAATGGGTGAAAGCTTCAGTGCAGTGATCCCCGTGTTGGATCACTGAGGGCTAATACAGACTATTGACATTAATAATTAATAATATCCCTCTCTATTGAACTTTTATTAGGTCTCAGATATTTTGTCAAGTGCTTGATAGATTTTATATCATTTAATCCTCACTACAACCCTGTGATAAATATAATGTGTGAAAAATCACAGAGTTAAGTGGCAGAGGCAGAATTTGAAACGCTGTCTTACTACCAGTGCTGTAGACCTCAGGCAATCATCAGTGCTTCAGTTTGTTTTCACAGATGGTTTCCTGTGGCACAAATGGGCATATCATATTTTACTTGTAATGAAAACACTCACTTTTTAAAAAAATGGCATTGCCCTTTAAAGACTTGCTATCTCACTTACCATTAATAGATTTTAAAAACTTAACCCCAATCAGTGGAGAGTAAGTTGAGAAAGTCCTTCGTGAACACTGAATGCCTGGCCAGCAACACCAAGAATGTAATATGTACAGAGCGTTTGCATGGCTTGGTAAACAAGCACAGGGAGATTAACTTAATATTTTTCTGTCTCCATGACGAATGCTCTCAATTTTCTGTTCAGGGCAGAGAATATATTGAAGTGGATAGCTTATGCAGAAGGCAGCCAGAAGGAGGGGCACAGTGTGGCCACTTGGTAGCATAACCCATAACTGGCAAAGAGAAGGGTTTTTACATCACAGTGGAGAAATAATGGATTGGAAGTTGCTTTAAAGAGTCAGCCAGAAAAGTGAAATTTCTGTTATTCCACCCCCTATGGGACAAGGGCTATGAACAGCCTTCAGGGCACAGGAGGACACATTCCGAGAAGCCTGGAATAACTTTATCATCGTGTGCTGCCAACCCTAGATACCTGTTAAGGTCTTCCAAAGTTGTCTCAGCTTATTGAGTGACAAGAGTTTCTAAGAGAATAAGTGTGGTACTCTGACAACAGCCTTGAGGTTCTCATTTTGATTTTAAACAGGCATTGGATTCATCTTGGTATATCACTGGACTACCTCAATGCAAACCCCTCATACATGACTATTTTTCCTCTTCTTTCCTTTCTTCCTTTTGCAGTTCCTTTCTTTTTTGCCACAACTTATTATTATGTATTATTATTCTTTAGGTTTTACACTCATATTTTACATGTATTCCAAGCAATTTTGCACTCTCTAAGTATAAAAAGTAAAATAGGTTCTCTCTAAGGTATTTTTGTAAGCTTTTAAATTTTATTTTTTATTTTTATTTTTTAAGCTTTTTAAATTTTAAAGATCTTCTATATTTAAACAAACTAAAGCTCCTATAATTTTCAACATTGAAATTATATGCTGACCTGATAAGCATTTTTTCAGATATAGAGGAAGGCCCCCAAAGGACGAGATTATTGTACAGTACTTTCAAGGTCTGCTTTACTCTAAATACATTCAAGTTGAAATTGTAATCTGAAGTATTTACACTACATTGATAGGATGGATGGCTCTAAAATTATTTTCATCTTCATTTTTCCTCATTCTGTTACCAAGTTACTGCTACCTGATGACTAAATCTTAGGACCTTTCTGAAAGGTTCTTTTTTTTTTTTAAAGATTTTATTTATTTATTAATGAAAGACACACAGAGAGAAGCAGAGACACAGGCAGAGAGAGAAGCAGACTCCATGCGGGGAGCCCAATGTGGGACTCGATCACGGGTCTCCAGGATCACGCCTTGAGCCGAAGGCAGATGCTCAACCGCTGAGCCACCCAGGCGTCCCAAAGTTATTTCTTAGTAATGACTCATTGTAATGACCACGCTATTCATGAAATTTCCACCACACTAAAAATTAACATCTTTTAGAGAATGTTTGTTGTAATTGTGAAACATATTAATAATTGAAATTAAGGGAAACAATTAAGAGCTTTCCCCCCTATTGGACTACATGGTGTTATTCATTCCAAATTCTCCATAATTTCATCACATTAGATTTGGACCAAACACAAATTGGAGAGGAATGAGAATTGGCAATCTAGATAATTTGCCCAGTGAGAACTCTATTAATAATAATATGGACAATCATTATGAACACCATACTTAAATTATTTGCATTTTAGGTCTCATTAATATACCACAAGGCTACCTTTTTATTGATGTATTTTGGAACTAGTCCTGAGGTTTCAAGATCATGCTTGTCTCCAGTTCTTTTGTCAACATAAATTGGTTTAGGCTTTTTAGCCACTCCCATAATGACATCGGCTGCATTTGTGTTTACAAAATTTTTTTCACTCTGTATTCCCATGACTGGATGATCAGTCCTCAGTGGCACAGGAGGTTTTCTGGGCTCATTCCGATCAAACATTTTTTCTGTTAAATACAACATTTCCTTGTTACTATTAAATGGTAAACACTGCTATTCAGTACTATTTATAATATCTAGATATTTTACCACTAGTATGTTAGAGTTTTATTAATAATATATTCAAATATTTGGGAGAAAAATCAGTAATCATAAATCCCAAAAATCAAGCACAACATAATTAATATGTTGGAGAACAGTATACCAATCTAAGAGAAGAAGATAAGCACCCCAAATCATTTGCTAGCTAATTAACATATTTTTACTAGCTATCGTGAAAATATTTTCTTATAAAGATATCAACAACAAATGTTCAGCTTTTCCACTGAAAAAAATTCAAAGAAATATTGAAACTCTTTTCTGAGTACTAGCAATATTACTAAGAATTATTTCTTCAGAGGAAAGTTACTATAAAGTCACCAGTAGGTCAAACTTGATAAAAGTCCAAGAATTATGGACTTTTTTCAGTAGAACTCTTGTTATTTATTATAAGGTATGAAGATCATATAGTAGCTATGTATCTAACATGCAGCTTAATGAATAAAAATTACAAACACAGTTGAAGCTTCCAATTCACTCCTCCCTGGTTGCATCTCACTTCCTGAAATTCCTACTATCCAGAATTTATCTTATTTCTCTCTACCACATTCTCTTCATCAGCAGCAGATGAAACTGGCCATTTTTACACAACCTCTTCAACTTAACCTTTCTGACTCATCTATTTTTATATAGCTACATCAAAATGGTTTGTCAGAATGCTAAAATGTAAAATAATTACATTCTATTTTCAAGAACTAAAGGCAATAGCCTGAATCTTGGGCAGCCCTGGTGGTGCAGCAGTTTGGTGCCTGCCTTCGGCCCAGGGTGTGATCCTGGGGTCTTGGGATCAAGTCCCACGTCAGGCTTCCTGCATGGCTTCTTTCTCTGCCTCTCTTTCTCTCTCTCTGAATAAATAAATAAATCTTAAAAAAAAATAGCCTGCATCTTCACAAAACCTTACTCAAATCTTAGCCCCGCACAATTACTAGATACTTTGATTTTATTCAATTCTGTACTGCTTGAACTTTTTATGAGTTTGTGTAACTTTTATTAGCAGGAAAAAAGATACTTATTATTAAATGTTTAAGGATTGGATTAATCTCTTGCTATGGGCCAAACTGTGTCCCTCTCAATATTCATATGTTGAAGCCCTAACACCAGTGCCAAATACACTTCTGTTTAAGCTACTGGGTCTGTGATACTTTGTTATGGCAGCTCTAGTAAGCCAATACTTCTGCTATTAGTTCTGCACACCCAGAAATATAAAGGAGTTTTTGGATATTTATTTATTCATTAATTCATGCAATATGTTTTTGTTAAGCAAATACTATCTCCCCAGCTAATGCTCTAGGAACTGCAGATACAGTAGTGAACAAGAGACAAAGTCCCTGTTCTCATGGAGTTTACATTATAGTGGGGAAAGAAAAAATAAAATTTAATACATAGAATATAATGTAAAAACTTGCTTGAACTATATGTGAAAGAGGCCATGTTTAATTATGAATTGAAAGTGCATGCAAATGTAACTATAAGGAAATCTGTAGCTTTAGAAATATATATGAGGTAAAAATGAATTCTTAGAAAATGAGGAAACACTTTAGAAAGGCTGATAATTTATTCTTAGATGAGTAAATAGAATAACTTATAACCCTTGGTTGTCCACTGGATGGTGCCTAGAGCTGGCCCATCTTTCTCTTATGTTATACCTATTTAAACATGATCTTTTCTCTCATCCTAGGGGCAGGGGTTGGCAGTGGGTGAGGCTTGCAAAATGGGATGAGGATCTTTTCACAAATCATTGGTAGTCATAATTATAAATCTAAACACCAAATGGTTTGTTTTCTTAAGGTTATATCAAAATGGCAATGTCAACATAGCCTTGTAGTCATGCATATGTTCTAACAATTGAATTTACATAAATGTTCATGTATCTGTTAGGTATTGTTCAGTGTGTCTAGCAAATTATTGTCTTCAAAACTATTGTATTCAAAATGACAGAACATGCAAAAAGAGCCAGGAAGCAGCCTTGGTCTATATTACCTTTAACTCATTGGACTGAACTCTCACAACACCCCAACCTTCTTGATTATTCATAGGTCAATATAATTATATGTTTGTTTTGTCTTGTTATAAGGGGAGAGATAGACTTCTTCCCTTATTTGATATTTAGGATTTATTTATTTAGATTGGTAGTTATATAACTTGCTTAACTCAGAGAAGATACATGAGAAGTTAAATAATATCATTAAAACAGACTAATTCCATTTTAAGATTTTCCAGTGTTCTCAAGTGATTGGGGGTCACAAAATACCAAAACTCCCCTTGAGAAAGATCCAAAAGAGACTTTTGAAAGACATGAATTTATGCATGAATGTCATAGTTTTAGATTTGCTTTTTCCATCTTTTCTGATAATATCCTCAGCCTTTGTCATGGCATTATGGGTATGAGAGATGATTGTAGGATATAAAATACGGCCACGGGGAGAAGTACTTTCACCTTTGTTTGTTTGTTTGTTTTTAATAATAAATTTATTTTTTATTGGTGTTCAATTTGGTACTTTCACCTTTGTCAAAAGGTATACCCTAGCTGGATTTGAGATGTTGCATTATTTCCCTGATGCCAGGTAACATAAAAAAGCTAACTTTTCAAAAGAGCAAGACTAATTTTCCTCTCTCTATTGTCCTAAAACATCAGGAAAGACACATCAGGGATAGGAAGAATCTGTTTTCATGCATACACACCTGTCCATTTTCCAGATAACTTTCTTCCTAATATCTATATACTCTATGACTATGATTGATTACATGATTTGCAAGGCCTCCATGACAACATGGAGCTCCTTGATCAAAAATTAAGAATTTCAAGGTGGCAAAAGCAGTGCATTAAACCAAGCTTTTAAGCATGAGGCCATGTGTGACCACACACAGTATGCCGAAGAAGCTGGCTTTGTCTCCCACTCATTCACAAAGGTCCCTCCATTACACCTGACTCATTTACTGTCCTAATGGTCTTAGAGATCTGGGAGGCTTAAAGCCCATGCCAGATAGTTGCTTCAACCAGTTTTAATAGTTGTGATTCTCATCTCTTGCAGAAAAGACCAGACAGAGTTTAGATGCCAGGTACTCTTCTTACTGGGGCTTAGGACACTTCTTATCATTGTTATTTTTACTGAAATTGCATGGCTATGGACAAAGATGGTGAAGCATGTGGTACTGGAGGTGGGGCTTTATTGGATAGTCCAAGATGGTAGTTCAGATGCTTGCACCATCACAGGGAAAGCCTATTTGGGAGACAACTCAGCATTCTCCACTTTCTTTTGCCACTGCATTCTCTACTTCCACTTTCTCCTAGAATTTCAGATTCTCTTAAAAATGAGTAAAACATCACTTGTGAATATTTAACATTCACTGGCAGTAAGATAATTCTAGTTAAATGATCTGTTAGCACTTTTGATATTTAAAAAAAATGTTAAAACCTACTGGGTGGTAGAGTTTTTTCCTTTGAATGTTTCTTCAGGAAATCCTTTGGAGAAGGTACTTCAACTTTTGGTGGTCCCATAGACTTCATTGCCATTTTATGTTTTTGCATGTTGTCTTTTATAGACGTCTTAAAAATAGATATGTACCTAAAATTTAAAAAAAGTTGTAGCATTTGTATTTCCAGTAAAAGTGATTTCAAGTTAAGAAATGCATACATTTTGGGCAGCCCAGGTGGCTCAGCAGTTTAGTGCTGCCTTTAGCCCAGGGCCTGATCCTGGAGACCCGGGATCGAATCCCGAGTCGGGCTCCCTGCATGGAGCCTGCTTCTCCCTCTGCCTGTGTCTTTGCCTCTCTCCCTCTCTCTCTGTGTGTGTCTCTCATTAATAAAATAAAAACTTAAAAAAAAGAAATGCATACATTTTAAATACATATAAGCCTATATTCATTCAGAGACAGATGTAAAGTGTAATTATCTGAGCCCCTATCAAACACCCTTGATGGAAGCTTTGCCCTCAGAAAGAGGTCCCAGGGTAAAGATTATAGTATTTGTTTGTTAACATGTGTAGCATCAAGAGTGATGTCACTTCTCCCACTCCTAATATTGGTGACTTGTGTCCTCTCTCTCTCTCTCTCTCTCTCTCTCTGCTGATCAGTTTAGCTAGGTGTTTATCATTGATCTTGTCATTGTGTTTCTCTAATGTTCACATGTTTTCCATTTCAATGATTTCCACACTTTATTATTTCTCCTTATTCTGGCTTACTTTGCCCTTTTTGTTTTAGTTTCTTAAGGTGCAGCTTTAGGTATTTGACTTTAAACCAAATAGTTTTCTAACAGAAATATTTAAAACTGTAGAATTCCCTCTAAGAGCTGCTTTTATAGCTGCATCCCACAAATTTTTCATTCAGCTCAAAATACCTTTTTAATTCTTTTTTGATCTCTTCTTCGACTGAAGAGCTTCTTCACATGTGTTTTGTTTGGTTCCCAAATATTTGGGGATTTTCCAGGTGTCTTTCTGGTTTGTAATTAATTTCTACTATGGTTAGAGAATATATTTTGTACAATTTCAATTCTCTTAAACTTTCTGACACTTGTACAATGGCACAAAGTATGGACTATCTTGGTAAATGCTCTCTAAACACTCAAGAAAGTGTACTTGGCTGTTCCTGGCTGGAATATTCTACAAATATTGATTAGGTAAAACTGGTAGTGTTTTCAAATGTTCTATTAATTATGGAAAGATGATGAAATCTCTGTCTACAATTGTGGATTTGTTCATTTCTTCTTTTAGTTCTATCAAGTGTTGTTTCATATATTTTGAAGCTATGTTTGAAGGTTCATAACATTTAAAATTATCATATCTTCTTTTTAAAGATTTTAAATGTATTTAATGTTGGCAAATTGAATTTAAATAAAATATATTTTTCTAAAATTTTATTTATTTAACAGAGAGAGAGCACAAGCAGGGGGAGCAGAGGGAGAAGGAGAAGCAGGCTCCCCACTGAGCAAGGAGGCCGATGTGGGGCTTGATCTCAGGACCCTGGGGATCATGATCTGAGCCTAATGTAGATACTTAATCGAATGAGCCATCCAGGCACTCCAAATTTTCATATACTCTTGAACTGACCACTTCATCAATATAAAGTAATGCTATTTATCCCTTTTAAAACTCTGTATAGAGACACCTGGGTGGCTCAACAGTTAAGCATCTTCCTTCAGCCTAGGGTGTGATCCTGGAGACCTGGGATTGAGTCTTGCCTCAGGCTCCCTGTATAGAGCCTGCTTCTCCTTCTGCCTCTGCCTCCTGTGTCTCTGCCTCTCTCTCTCTCTGTGTCTCTCATGAATGAAATCTTAAAAAGATAAAAATAAAAAAATAAAACTCTGTACTCTAAAATCTACTCTATCTCCTATTAATAAAATCATTTCAGCACTCCTTTGCTCTATGGCAACAGTGTTTTTCCATTCTTTGAGATATTTGCTCTTTCTTTTTCTGTATGTGATGTTTCTTTTTCCTTTGGCTGCTCTTAAGGTTTTTATTATTATTATTACTGGTTTTAAGAAATTTGATTGTAATGTCCCTTGGTGTGGTTTTCTTCTCTTCCTCCTCCTTCTTTTTCTTCTTTCTGCTTGGAACTCATTGGTCTTGTATTTGGAAGCTTCATTAAATTTGTCAAAATTTTGGCTGTTATTCAAATACTTTTCCTGTTTACCCATCTCTCTCCTCTCCTGCAATTCTAATTATAGTTATGTTAGGCTGCTTGATGTTGTCTACAATGCACTGATCGACTATTTTCCTTTTCAATTTTTTCTTTCATTTTGTATTGTTTTATTACCATGTCTTCAAATTCAACAATATTTTCTTCAGTGTTTTAGCTACTGTTAATCCCACCCAGTGATAACCTTTATGTCCAGAAGTTAGATTTTGGTCTTTCTTTTTTAAATCTTTTTTTAACCTTTCCATTTCTCTTTGTATCTTGCTAATGTTTTCCTTTACGTTTTTTGAATACATGAAGAATATTTAAAATAGTTTTAATGCTCTGGTCTATCAAATATCTCATTGATGTCATTTCTTTGTCTGTTTGTATTGACTGGTTTTTCTATTGGTTATGCATTATATTTCTGGATCCAGAAGAGCTTTGAGTCTAGTTCTAATTTGGCCCCATTACTGAGGCAATATACTTTTGAGTGCACTGCTCAATGTCGTGTGTCTTAAGAGGTGGTTCCACTCCAGCTGGTGGAAATTTGAACTTAATCTGGATCTACTGCCTTCTGTTGGTTATTTCTCTGGCCTCAGTAGTTTCATCATATACATGTACTGTCAACCAACAACTTCAGAAAAATCCTCTTGCATATTTCCATAGCATACACTCTCTCTCATTTTCTCTCTCTCCAATTCTCTCTGGTACTGTGTCTCTGTGTTGTGAATTCTACATGCCTTAACCTTTCCAGACTCTGAATTCTGTCTCCTTTAACTCAGAGAACTGACGGGCTTTCTTTAAATTCCTCTTCCCTGGATTTTGGTCTAGAAACTTTCTAGGAAGAGTGTTGGGGCAATCCTAAAGCTTGTTTCCTTCTCCCAGGAATGACTGGTGTGTGCTGTCTCTTGTCCATTTTCTGAAAACTATTGTTTTACACTTTTTTTTCCCTGGTGTTTTAGTTGTTTAAGGTGAGAGGGTAAATTCCATCCTTGATTGGAAGAAGTTTAGCTATAGCACTTTTAACAGCTTGTTTCCTCTTCTTATACAGATAAATTTGTTTGAAGAAACATTGAATTGTTTCTTGCTTTTAGGGGCCTTTCCTTAATCTTGAACTCAATGTCTAGGGATTAATTATGGTCTAAACTGAGTTTATTAGATACTTTCAAAAATAATGTTCAATCCAACCTTGTGCCTTAAATTTCATATGGAAGTTGGACCTGGTAAATATCCCTTGATTAATAAAATAACTTTCCCTGTGGTAAGAAAAAAGTGTGTATATGCTTACTTCTTTTTAATTTTCAAAATCTTGTGATTCAATACATTATTTTTGTGAGCAAAATCTTGTGATTCAATACATTATTTTGTGAGCTTCAATACATTAGCTTACCCATTTGTTATACAAAACAATACATTTTATTCTATAGGAATAATTTTTTACTTTTCCAAATTATAAAAATAAGAAAATATGAAACTAATATAGCAGTATATGCCAATCACAACTCAATTTTAAAAAATGAATAAAAATATAGTTTTCCTCTATCTCCTCAATCCATTTTCCAAATACATTTTCTATATTTTTATTTATGTATGAAATATAGCTTGATTTTAAAAACTTAATATGATCTCTTCCCATATTAGTAGTTGTAAAATTTACTTTCTTTTCTTTACAAGAGATGAAGAGAAGTGTTATTATGAAAGTCTGCTGAGACTAGACAGCCAAATTAAAATCTGAATAGCAATTTCTAACACTGTTATAAAACTCCAAGACCATATATTGGAACAATGGGAATTTTAACATAAAACTGAAAACATACTGAAAACAAAAACTTTAGAATATTTTTTACATTCTTTGAATATAAATTAATTTTAAGGGACTACTGCTTTCCCCAACTTAATTATTAGCTACAAAATATCAACAAAGTAGGTAAGACCCTCAGGGGAAAATGACCCTGTCATCTAAGATTTCATAATAGTCAAGATTGCTTAGCAAAGTTAGATACATAACTGGACTTTAAACAAAGAGATGTTACAAAGCCTCAGAAGATATAGCTTTAACAGAATGGAAATTGAATAAAATAAAAGGTAGTCCAAGAAGGATGAGAACCTCTGAAAATGAAATTCTGACTACATGCCATAGATAACACCAATAAAAGCCAGAAAGCCTTAAAAAAACCCAGCCAACTAATGGGTAGTTAGACTGTAAATATTCCCATTTTTAAAAAGCATGCATCCAGAAATTCCACACGGGTGAGCCTGATGTCAATTTTGGAAATCATCTGAAAGCTTATAGAGAAGTAATGATTAAATGAGCCATTTGGGGTTTCAGGTCATTGAAATGAACATCATATTTTTTACAGATTATTTGACTCATGAATCAGGCAAATACCTCAGACATAATAATACACAACTTTATGTTAGCAAAGCCTCTTATCCTTACTTATAAGGTAGATAACTATGAATTGATTAATGGATGCATATGGATGACTGACTGAACTCTTAAAAACAGTATTGCTGTCAGCCTAGAAAAAGGTGTCTAGTAGCCCACTAAAGTGCAAAGTATTTGTCCTACTTAATGACAGATGGAGATATAAAAGACATTAGATTTGCAAATGTCACAAAGCTGGGAGGGATGTTTGAGAGAGTATATGAAAGATTCAAAGTTCAAAACTATCTCCATAGATAACAATGAATTTAGATCAAAAACAATCAGTTACATTAATTATACGATGGGACAGATGACCTTAGCCATAATTTATGAGGGAATTTCAATGTGAGGCAATGGGAGAATATGAATGTTAAAATGCTAATAAGTGCATTAATAAAAGTATTGCACTGTAATGAAAGGTATAATGGTCCCATGGCCTATTCAGTACACACCTGGAATATTACCTTAAACAAAAGGAAAAGACAGAATGATTGGTGATGTTAACTAACCGGAGCCATCAATGGAAGGGTGACATATTTGGTGAACATCTCAGAAACCACCTCATGCATCATGAGCAACTGAAATTTTGAAAACGGATTCATGGCTTCTTACTGACTTTAACACTGTCATATCTTGAGTCCCAGATCATTAAGTTCAACTGCAAGAGGATGCCCTTCACCCCACTTTGGTTCCATATATCCATTTTCTATGTTCTCATTTAGTTACTTGCATTTCTCAGTAGGACTTCCAATAATAAATGGTTTTCTTGTTAGTCAACATGTTAAAGTTTATATTGTAGTGTCCCAAGGAGACTGGAACTTCTGAAGTATGGGAATTTCACAATGCAGTCAGTTGTTGAGGAATAGACCTCTTTGTGAAAGTTGGACGGTCATCTTGCTGGTCTTGCACAGAACTGCAGTGAGTTTTCTTGAAGCTGAATTTATAACTCAGTAATGCAAATAAGCCTTGGAGGTTAATACATTTCTTTCTTATGATTAATTCTCACTATTAGTAAAGGGATTGGGTCAGAGCAAGTTAGTGTGGTGAGAGGAATTTGTTAAATGTGTTAATACACTCTGTTTTTGTGTATTACTAGTTTGCTTGCATGACATCTTGTCAAATTAAAACCCCCTCAGGGTTGTTGCAGACAATGTAGATTGTTGTCTTCTCACCCTAACAGAGAGAGTTCTTTGGCACTACATTTGGATGCCTTCTCTCCCCTTCACCACGAGGTCCTTTTCTCTACTTATTCCTTCAGAATCAACCAAGGAGTTTGTGCTGTCACTTCCAAAATTCCCCAAGAACATTCCCCAAGGGCAATGTTATACACATATTAGGGGCTCACTTACTGCTTGCCAAATTAATAAAGATTGTTCCTATAAAATTTCTTGAAAAAATACTTAGGTGCCATAAAGGTGCATCTTTTTAATTTACCAGTAACAAAACGCCTATCTAATAAAATATCTTACCATTCAAATCCAGTACTCAATAAAAAATACAATCTACCAGTGGTTACAGAAAGGTTACAGGAATTTCTGACCATAAATTCATTCAGCAAAAGTTAATTAGAATACTCATAAATTCTGCAATTCCATCACATCTTACTTTACATTCCTCTTTCCATTCTCAACTAGATTTTGAGAAGCTAATGGAAAATAATATAGGTACTGCTCTTGTTAAAATTAAGACACTTGGGCTTAAAATGGAAGGATTTTCCCACTTGTTGATGTTATGTACCCCAAGTAATTACTAGTAAAAATAATTGACCATTAGATCTGAAAGGAATCTAAAAGATTAGCTGAGTCATTTAGTTTGTTTTACACATCAGAAAACAAATGAAAATTTATTCATGATTCCCAAACCAATTAGTTTCAGAGCCTACTTTTTAGCCTGGTACTCTTTCAGTGTGGTTTTGACTTGCATCAGCAGAAGAAGAAAGGATTTAAAAAAAAAAAAAAAACAGCACATATTTCAAGTACTAGGAGGAATAAGATTTTCTGCACTGGTTATCTTCCATTCTCCCCATGGATTACATAAATTCTAAGCCCCTACACAAGTGAGTGACTGAGATATTTACTTGGGGGTTAGCTTTTTGGTTTTTTTTTCAGTAGGGTTAGCTTTTTGAAATGAGGGGAGTTTAAGGAGTCTAACACCTACACAAAATTTTAAACTCAAGTACGTATTTTGGGGTCTCCACCCATCTCCTCTTCCTTCTATACCACTATCAGATTTGAAAAAGACTTTAGAAGCTAATCTATTTTGTTTCACCTACAACTGAGTCTCAGAAACACAAATTTACATTTGACTATCATCTCCGAAATAAATAACTACTATCCCTTTGGGGAGGGAGCGGTAGTGTAGTCAGAAATAAAACAATGAACTCCTGAAATCACATAACAAGTATCCTAACACAGAATAATAAAACTGTGATTTTCCCTTTTCAACAGCAACAAGAGATTTCACGCTATTTTGTATGCCACATCATGTATGAACAATTAGATAAATTAGAAAACAATTACATACTGTATTAACAGGCAGCTAACATAATAAAAGAAATGGCCCTCTCACAGCACTGGGCGGTCCTCTCTGTGAATTGGGAGATGATAAATACCTAGATTGTGCAATCACTTCTTTAAGAAGCTGACATTCAAGTCTACTTCACTGAGACAAAAAAATACATATTTTTCAACATTATATGATGCTTAGTTAACCCTGAAATGGCATAATTATTCCCTATTCTAATTTCAAGTGATAATCTTTGCTTACCCACATACCTAGGACGGTGGGGAGGCTCCTTCCAGTCACTGGGTATGAGGTTATAAATGCTCTCAGAAAAGCAAGTTGTATCCATGGCCACCAAAACGACTCCTTAAAAATACTCAACTTTTTTTCCTCACTATCCCAATATCTGTGTCTCTTTCTTCACTGTTCCCCTTTCCTTTTCCTACTCTTATCTTCTCACGGAACTAAAGTTTCTCTCTTTTACCTAATTTCCCTTTGACCTCTTCTTAGCAGTCCTCTCTTGGGAAGAAAATAAAATAGCCCTTCTAATTCTCTTTGGGGTTGCTTAGCGTTAGTTGACGGCGTGGTTGCCTTGGAAACGGTTGCTAGGCTACGGGGAAGTGGAAGGCAGCACCGCGCACGAGGTTTCCTCTCTTCCCTCTGCAATTTTTCTGCTTGAGTTCAATAAGGAAACCACCGTTTGTGTGTGCCTTTGGGAATAATGAGCGGAATGGCGACCCCTTAAAGACATTGCTCGTCTCTGTCTCGGCGGACTTGGACAGAAAGACAGACCCACTAGAGAGCAGAGCGCGCAGCGGGATCGCAGGCGTCACACAATGAGTCTCTTGTGCGCAGGCGCCGATCCCTGAGTGGGCGGGGCCAGCGCGCCGAGGCCTCCGCGGAGAGCCGCCCCGGGGGCTGGGGGAGGAGCCTGAGGAGCAGGGAGGACTCCGGTAGGTGGAGCGCGGCCCGAGAGTCACGTGCCCAGGGTGCGGGCGCTCGGGGCGTGGGTGTGGCGCGCGGGCGCGCGGGCGCGCAGGCCCTCACCGGCGCAGGCGCAGAGGCCGCCGCGCGGGGCTGGGGGCGGGTCCGGCCTGGCGGAGGCCCTGGGCCTGGGCTGTGGGCGAGCAGGTGTGAGAGCCCCAGAGGTGCGGGACCCCGTCCCGAGGCGGCGGTGGCGGCTCCTGGACGCTCCTCCCTAGTTTCTTTCCTTTCCCCCGTCTTCTCAGTGTGATTTTCTTGGTGAGTGATTTGAGGAGAAAGAAATGGAACCTGTAGACACCGGTCCGTGCCATTTGCATGCCCTTCCCCACTGCGTTCCCTGTTCCCCTTCCCGCTACTTGGTCGTCATCCCGCCTGTGCGCTCGTCTTCCCCGCCGCGTCCGCCGGGCTTGCGGGGAGCTCGCTGCGCGGCCCTGCTCGCCACCTGTGGGAGTCGCGCCCCCGCGCGCCCCCGCCTCCCCGTGCACCTGTCGCACCGCGGCCCTCGCTCGGCCTCCCTCTTTCTCCGGTTCGCTGCCCTCGGCCCCAGGTACCTGCTGGTCGGGCCCCTCCTCCTAGGTCTTTATCCACTGACGTGTGCACTCGGTAATTTGTGCAAAAGCAGCCTAAACCAGGAGGAGCCTCTTAAATGGGCCCTTGAATTTTTACCCATTTTTATGGTGTTCCTCCCCCCCCCCTTTTTTTTTGATTGTCTTCTCGGGAGCGGTGTTCCGTTTTAACCGTCTGCTCTTCCAGAAACCTCTTTATGCTGAAAGAAATTCGTACAGAAGCCTTTGCCATCCTGAGTCTCTAAAAGACATTTTGGCGATATTTTGGAAAGACAGTTGGTCTGAATGAACCTGACAAAGGCCACTGTCCAAGGGAATAAAGATGGTCAAAGATAAGACACCACCAGTTTTGGCCACTTCACTGCCATGGTACTCGGTAGAGAGAGAAAAACAGCACGATGGCTTCATTAACCATTAGTTCCTACTGAAAAGGCTGTGCAGAATGGGTGGGTCCTTATCATTTGGGGCTCCTACTGAATTTCGTCAGATAAGAATAAATTTAGGTTTTTTCTTATCCAGTTGATCATATTTTTTATTTTTATCCCAGGCATTTAGCATTCTATTTCAGACAAGTGGCGCTTTGGTGATGATGCTCCTGCTCTTCACATCGGATTTTCTGTTTTTCAGAACTTTTTTTTATGTATATACCACTTTGTTGTTTTCCTTTCCCCTCTGAATATTTTATGTTTTCGGTTTGGAGGTTATTTCGTTTGCTTTGCTTAGCATGTATAGAGAAAAACTCTCTTTATTCGTGCTAAGATTTGAACTAAGACTTAAAATGATGATACCATTAACCAAGCGGATGGTCATTGGCCAAAGCTTATAAACTTTCTAATAAAGAAGCAGCGCTCTGGGACGTTTCATATAAATCATTTCACAAAAAAAATGATTAGGGCAAAGCATGATTTCTCCAATTAGTAAGTATCAACCAACCTTAGCTAGTCTTGACTTTCTGGTGTTATGGAATACAGTAGTTTCACTGATAATCAGTATATCTATTGTGGTTTTAAAAATACCAATTCATGACCTCCTCACTATTAGTATAGGTAGTTTACAGTCATGGTGAAGTTGTTAAAGCATTTAGAAAGGAACTTTTTTCCTTTCTAGATACTTTCTCTATAATTCTGCTTGCCTTTTGAAAGCATATTTACAAAGAACATATTTCTAATTTTTATAATTGCCTCAAAATGGCAGTACTGTTCAAGGAAATGTCTGTGTCCAATATGCCTACAGGGAATCAGCATTTGTCCACTGACAGAGGTCATGAACTTTATCTGTAAAGGGCTAGATAATTAATATTCTAGGCCTCTACAGGCCAAATGGTTTTGATCAAAACTGTTCAACTCCACTGTTGTAGCTCAAGAGCAGCCAAAGACCATACTAAACAGATTAATGAATAAATAGGTTGTGTTCCCATGAAACTTTATTTTTAAAAAGGGTAGTTAAGTTTTGCACAGATTTGGCCTGTGAGTTATAGTTTGTGCAGACCCCTGCTATAAATGGTTTTACATACAAGTTAGAGTGTTTTGCTGAAGACTAATTCTAACTTATATGAATAAAATGAGCTTAGGTAAGAATGTAAAAAAGAGACAACTAGGAGGAAAATTAACCCTGGATAAGAGATATTCTTTATAATAATATAATTCTAAGTTACAGAATTAAAAAGGGTACTTAATTAAAAAGTCTTTTGAATTAAATACTCAAGACCATTAGGAGAATATCTAACAGTGAAAGATTAGCAAGAAGAAAGGCTTAATGAGCTTTTGGTACTAAGACAGAGGCAAAAATGAGCAAATGAACTTGTAATTCTACTTTTGATTGTAAGATCCCTGTGATTACAGCATGGCACTAGAGTGTGTGGTCTTTCCACCCTTTCCACCTTGCTATTTCCAGGAAAATAATAGCTGACTAACAAAGGCTTGCTGAGAGGATTTTTGCTCAGTATTCCAGAGCAGCAGAACTTTACCTCCCCTGGTTAGTTTATGTCGTAGCAAATTTGCATTTTTTAATGTATTGGAAAACAATTTATTGCTGTAAGAATGCAGTAATTTTTAAGGATTTTTAAAAAAGTATCAGGATATCTTCATAAGATAATGGACCAGATTTAGTCATTCTTCTGAGAAATTTAGGTTGCATTAATATAGGATAACAAGCAGAATCATGGCATAAATATTTTTAGAAGTTCATTGAACCACAGCCAGTTCTCATGAAACAATTTTTTAAATGCTGTGTCTTACATTTTATTTTGGAATAGTATGTAACAAATATTTTAAATGGGTGACAAATGCTAAATCATCCTGACTAAGATTTGGATAATTTCCCAAAGGAATTGGAAACTAGATAATTTTATAATGGAATTGAAAAATTTCTCTGCACCATTTTGGAAATAAAAATTGATAATGGGTATGATTTTAGTTGATTAGCAATCATCTAGTGGTGTCCTTAGGAAAACATCACTGTGAATAGGTTGATGAAAATTAATATGCATTTTTGGTTTAAAAATGTTTATTAGTATTAATAAGAAATAATTTTAAAATAATTTTAAAAGTGATTTCTGAACTTTTTTTTCTTGAATTCATTGTTCAGTTTTGATCAGCTTACTACAGTAAAATTGTGAAGTTTTGTGCCTTGAGCTCAAAGAGTACTTGAATTATTTTATTTATGTGAACATTCTGTTTTTGTGTTTTAAAGTCTGCTGTGACACTGACACAGCCTTTTCATTTGTCTATTTGAATGACAAGTGTCTATTATGTCTAAAAAGTAACCAATGGAGTTAGTGGATCAAAGAGCCCCACTATATGTGATCAACAGGAAAACCTATTTAAAAAATATTAATGTATAATGGAGCTGTGTAGATTTTACATCCTCTGAGGAATTAGAGAGTATGACTAAAATGTTTTCATGAAGAACTTGGCTCTACAAAAAATACTTAAGAACATTGACATAGTAAAACACGAGTACTTTATGGCCAAGAGATTTGGTCTTTAAATACTGCTTTTGTTTTCTGACTCCTGTGATTGACTTACATTTAATTCCGGGATCGAATCCCACATCGGGCTCTCGGTGCATGGAGCCTGCTTCTCCCTCTGCCTGTGTCTCTCCCTCTCTCTCTCTCTCTCTATGTGACTATCATAAAAAAAAAAATTAAAAAAAAACATTTAATTTGATAAAGTTTTGTCCTTTGGCCAAAGAAAAATTGCTTATTTATGACCACTAGACTGAAATACATACTAAAGTAAAAATAAAAGAAAAAGCATAATAATATGGCTTTCAGTCATATACGAAAATGATATGCAGTTGATCCTCCCTTTTCACAGGTTCCATATTTGTGAATTCTACTCACTAAAATTTATTTATAAGCCCAAATTAATACATGTGGAACTTGTACATTCATTCATGGACACATGCACAGTGATGAAAACTTTGAGTCTCCTGGTTTGCATGCTCTTAGCTGAGATCAAGCAAGATGATGCCTGCCTTGCTGTTTCAGCTCAAATACTGTAAACAAGTGTCCTCCCATTCTATTTAATATCACATTTTTCTCATTTTTGTGCCTCTAGTTGGTGATTCTGCTGTTTAAAATGGCCCCTAGATTGTTGTGTTGCCTAGTGTTCCTAAGGTAATAAGGCTGTGATGTACCTTACAGATAAAATGTGTGTGTTAGACAAGCTTCATTCAGGCATAAATTAGAGTGCTGTTGGCTGTTCAGTGGTAATGAATCAACTGCATATATAGGTATAAATTATATATTAAAAATGTATAAAATGACTTTAAACAGAAACACATAAAATTGTTTGGAATGGAACAATTTGGAAGTGTGGAAGCAATGGGAATATTCACTATTCACTAATTCAGTATGCATGCTGACTTTATAGAATAATACCATGAATAATGAGAATTGAGTTTATTACCTCTGAAGTCAAAACTTAATTTCCAGATGAAAGTTACAATGGATATTATTCCATCTTGTCTATTGGTTTGTTTACAATGGATGTTGAAGCCCTAAAATTAATTTGTGGCTGAAATGTCATAAAACAAAATTTTAGGGGCAGCCCAGGTGGCTCAGCGGTTTAGCACCGCCTTCAGCCCAGGATGTGATCCTGGAGACCTGGGATGGAGTCCCATGTCAGGCTTCCCTGCATGGAGCCTGCTTCTCCCTCTGCCCGTGTCTCTCATGAATAAATAAATAAAATCTTTAAAAAAAAAAAAAAGACACAAATTTTACTATGTTACTTAGAATTCATCTTCTTTATTTTTCTTTAAAAATGATAATTGTTACATTTTGTAGCCTTTTAACAACTGCCTTCTGCTATTTTCAGGAAGATTTTTATTGTGAAATAATATTGATACCAAATTGCATTAAATTGTCATAATTTATATAAAGTAAGGAAAACTAAGGTTACAAAAGGTAAGGTGAACAATGCATAATGTTTGTGTCTAATGTTATCTTCTACTTTTGATGGAATTGATGATAAGCATTGTAGCAACCAACACAAAGTGGAAAAGATCTGCTAAAAGATTTGATGTCCATACAAACCAACCAGCTATTCAGGTAACAAATACTACAGTTACTGCTAATACAGACATCCAAAAGTTACACATTGAGAACCAAAAAAAAAAAAAAAAAATACACACTCCTAAATAGGAGGTAAGTCAGGTGGTTTTAGAAAGTGTTCCTCCTCCTCCAAGAAAACTAGTTGGTGTTAAAGTACTTTATCAGAATACAGTTTAATAAAAGACATTGCTGATATGATTCAAGTAGACACTTCTCTGATCCTGATCCTTGGTTTACTGCAGGGGAAGAATTAGACTGTGCATAACAAAACAATTTTTGGTTCATGCTTAAGTACCACTATTTTCTCTGAAGGCTTAGCAACTAACCAAACCATAAAAACATACACCTACACTTGAGTCTAGATATTCTGATTCAATTTATGTGTTTTTGGTCCATTGTCATTGAGTAGCAATAATTAACATTTCTATATATGAGAATATTCTTTGTGCCAGCCACTATGATACGTGTTTTGAATTTATTATAAACTCAAATAGCCAGGGAGTACCAGTGTGTAGCAGACACTGTATTTGCACTTTTTACAGCAACTATTTTTACATACAAATCATGTAGTGATTCAGATGGATAAAACAACCTATAAGAGTAATTCAGACATTGATTTCATAGCTTTAGTCCACTGATTTAAATTTTTCTCTCATCACTAAACATCCAGTTAAATAATTAAAATTTCAAGTATCATTGTGAGAGATTGTATATTTGTTCTTATCTGGTTATATTACTTTTGTATTGCTTGGTGGAAGAAATTCCTTTAGTACTGTTTAATGAAATTTATTTTCCGTTAATAAGACACAGATGTTGGAAAAACACAGGATCTTAATATTTTAATAATAGATTTGGGGAAACTATTGAAAAAGGCCAATTCATTATTTTTCCCTACTTTAAAATTTTCAGGTGGATATTTTAATAATAGACCAGTCTATGTGTGGGAATTTGTAACATTGCAGTGATGATTAACTTGAAAATTTTTCTATTATAGACTCTGTTTTTTCCAAAGATTGACTTTGCCTCACCATCAACAAACTCTTCATCTAAGATTGGTTCCTGGGTGTCATATGTTTACAAGTCAGTGGGAATTAAGCGCATCTCATATATGCTGAAAAGCCAAATAAGGAAATGTATTCCTTCTCTTAACAGTTCTAATTTAACTTGTAAGTTAAATTCAGTGTTAGTTTTCCAAATTCTTTAAATGTTTAATTACAGAACACAGTAGCAGAGATAATCAGAGTAGTAAATGATCGAAAGTTTTTAGAAAGTATTTGAACATACCATCTAAGATTTAATATGACTTAATTGCAGAACGTGTGAAAAGCCCCAGTACATGTGTGTAGAGTTCCTTTAGTTGATTTAAATGAATGTTGCAGCAGTTACTAAATTGCATTTTACATATACTCAGAATGAGTTTGACTTGTCTGGCATGCATTTGTGTTTTAATGGTGAGTATATTTCCAAAGACGGAGATTTGAGCAATATGGGGAATTGCAGAGCTTCTTTGCATGCCAGAATAATTATTTCCTCTCATCATTGGAAACATTCCTGAGGGTTTTTTTGTTATCACTGTAGAGTCTGGAATTTGAGTTAAGTGTCTCCACTGATAATGTTTAGAGGACAGAAACAAAAGTGACGGTTTCATGCAGATACAGTTATAGATATGTAGCCTTTGACTTTGCTGTTAATTATCAATTTTCCTTAATTTGCATAATATACCTTTCATTTTAGATTTTTTTTAAAAGAAGGACTTCGATATGAAAAATATCTAAGATTGATTCTTTAGAGTATGCATACAAAAGGCACATAAGAAAGAACATGTCATACCTTTGCCCTATAGTTTGGAAAGTTATTTAAGTATTTTATTAGCAAATATTTTACTCTACTTTCTGGTTGTGAATTTTATGAGAAATTTATGAATAGCATGATAGTCTGTCAGCATGTTCATATAACTAAAGTTAGAAATTAAATATAAAGAATAATGTTCAGAAACATTATTCAGAAATAATTTAATTTAGAAATTAAATATAAAGAATAATGTTTTGTGAATTGCAAGTAAATAACATTCCAAATAATCCTTGTTTATAGGGATTATAGACCAAGAAACAATTTTCATTACGGGAAAAGACATACTAATCTAATTTAGTTTTTTTTTTTTAAGTATGATGTGGCATTTTCTGAGTTAAGTGTAGCTTTTAGAAATTGTTGAAGTTTTGATTATTTGGTCTTGAGATTGAAAGATTATTTAAAAGGGTAATATGTAGTATGTGAGAATTTTAAAAATGTCCCATACATTTGAAAGATTTCTAAATAGTTTATGATGTGGTTATTTTCAGTCCTATTTGGGATTTTAAGTCTGTTGCAATTAGTAATCAAATGTCTTTTTTTTTTTTTGTTTTTATGTTTTGAAAAGGGCTAATGCCAGTTTTTAGGTTGACTTGGGCAGAAAAGTGAAAAGAGAATGCTCCACTTTAACCGATGTCCGCATCTGAAACAAATAGCCCAGAAATGTTTTTCTAGTATACATGTTAGAACGGATAAACATGTGCAGCTGTTTCTTTCAAGAACCTTTGCACTTGCAGAATTCAGGAAGTCATGGCACTCAACCCACTCTGTTGTTGGAGACAAAAATATTATCCTGATGGGACCGCCTGGTGCTGGGAAAACAACTGTAGGCAGAATAATAGGTCAGAAACTAGGTTGTTGTGTCATCGATGTGGATGATGATATCCTTGAAAAAACCTGGAATATGAGCGTGTCTGAAAAATTACAGGATGTTGGTAATGAGCAATTTTTAGAAGAGGAAGGAAAAGCCGTGTTAAACTTCTCTGCATCTGGAAGTGTGATTTCCCTTACGGGGTCCAATCCAATGCATGATGCTAGCATGTGGCATCTGAAGAAAAATGGAATAATTGTATACCTGGATGTACCTCTAATAGATATAGTCAGCCGTCTAAAATTAATGAAAATAGATAGGATCGTAGGTCAGAATGCTGAAATATCTCTGAAAGACTTACTTAAGTTTAGAAGACAGTATTACAAGAAGTGGTACGATACCCGTGTGTTTTGTGAAAGTGGGGCTTCCCCCGAGGAGGTAGCTGACAAAGTGCTTAAAGCAGTTAAAAGATACCAAGATGTGGACTCAGAAACATTCATTTCAACAAGACACATTTGGCCTAAAGACTGTGAACGGAAGGTTTCGACAAAATTCTTTAGTGAAGCAGTGATTGAGGGGTTAGCTTCTGATGGTGGACTCTTCGTTCCTGAGAAGGAGTTTCCAAAATTAAACTGTAGGGAGTGGAAAAGCCTAGTAGGAGCAACCTACATAGAAAGAGCACAAATACTGTTGGAAAAGTGTATACATCCTGCTGACATACCTGCTGCCAGATTGGGAGAAATGATTGAAACTGCTTACGGGGAAAACTTTGCCTGCTCAAAAATTGCCCCTGTCAGGCACCTTTCAGGCAACCAGTTCATCCTGGAGTTGTTTCATGGACCAACGGGATCATTTAAAGATCTGTCTTTACAGCTTATGCCTCATCTTTTTGCACACTGTATTCCACCAAGTTGCAATTATATGATACTTGTAGCTACTTCAGGAGACACAGGGAGTGCAGTCTTAAATGGCTTTAGCCGTATTAATAAGAATGATAAACAAAGAATAGCTGTGGCCACATTTTTTCCTGAGAACGGAGTAAGTGATTTTCAAAAAGCACAAATAATTGGCAGTCAGAAAGAAAATGGATGGGCAGTGGGTGTCAAGTCAGATTTTGATTTTTGCCAGACAGCTGTGAAAGGAATTTTTAAAGATTCTGATTTTACTGGCTTCCTTATTATGGAATATGGAACAGTCTTAAGTTCAGCCAATTCCATAAACTGGGGCCGACTGCTTCCCCAAGTAGTTTATCATGCTTCTGCATATCTTGATCTTGTTAGCCAAGGATTTATTTCTTTTGGAAGCCCAGTTGATGTCTGTATTCCCACTGGAAATTTTGGTAACATTTTAGCAGCCGTGTATGCCAAAATGATGGGAATCCCTATTCGAAAATTTATTTGTGCCTCTAATCAGAACCATGTTTTGACTGATTTTATAAAAACAGGACATTACGATTTAAGGGAGAGAAAATTAACACAGACCTTTTCACCAGCAATAGATATTCTTAAAGCTTCAAATTTGGAACGACATTTACACTTGGTGGCTGATAAGGATGGAGAATTAATGACAAAATTATTTAGTCAATTAGAAGAGCAACGTCACTTCCAGATAGAGAAGATGCTAGTTGAGAAACTTCAGCAGGATTTCGTGGCTGACTGGTGCTCTGAGGGAGAGTGTCTGGCAGCCATTCATTCCACCTACAATACTTCAGGATATATTCTGGATCCACACACTGCTGTTGCAAAAGTGGTTGCAGACAGAATGCAAGATAAAACCTGCCCAGTGATTGTCTCATCTACAGCTCATTACTCCAAGTTTGCACCTGTTATCATGCAAGCTTTAAAGATCGAAGAAATCAACCATAACTCATCAAGTCAGCTTTATTTACTGAGTTCATATAACGCACTGCCTCCACCGCATGAAGCTTTATTAGAGAGAACGAAACAGCAAGAGAAGATGGAGTACCAGGTCTGTGCAGCTGATGTGAATGTCCTGAAGAGTCATGTGGAGAAACTAATACAAAGTCAATTCATATAAAATTTTTTTGAATAAAATATTTCTTTCTGGCGATAAGCATATGATAATAAATCCCAGATGTTGATTTGGAATACAATAGCATTTTCATTTTTTTTGTAAATATATCTACATGTAGATCTTTTCTCTTTTCGAATTTCAATAACGTGATCTCTATAACAACATTGTACCTGCACGTGCCCATTGGAACCTTATAATCTGGAAGTGACAAAAGGGTACCATAGTGCATGGACCTTTGTGTTGCACTGTGCTTTGCACTCATGAGGGATATATCAGTTTCCACTACCTTATCCCCACTTTTAAGTGGATCAAAATGTCTGGTATTCACCTGGAAATTAAATATTTAAGCATGGCTGTTAAGTAATACATGTGTAACCATTACTAGTTTTCTATTGACTAGAAAGGTAATTTATCATTCAAATGGCTAACTTGTATGGAAGAAGTAGTAAGCTCACTCTTAAGATAGGGCGAGTGTTTTTACCTCTTTTCAAACTCCCGTTTTGGACTACAACTAACTACATATATCCTACACCATCCAAATTAGCTAAGTGCTCTGTCCTTGACTCCCCTTTGGATGGTTATAGTTAGGATGAGGTACTTTGAAAATCATGAAACATGATTTAAATCTAGGACGTAATAGTCAACATATAACTATTTAGTAGTGGATATAGAAGTAAAATTACTTATCTATTTCATGAGAAAAATTTTCCAAACTTCAGAGTATCTGAATAGTCTTAATAGAAGTATATTTATAGTTATAGGTAACAGTTTTTCTGTGTTATTTGGAGTCAATTGCTATATAATTTGTCTCTCTTTTCAATGAACATTGTCTTTTTTGACAACTGAAGTCACACACAATTGATACACACATATCTAGATTTTCTTTCTTTGTAGTGACAATAATTTTGACCATGATTTACATTTATGAATTTACTGGATATTTTATTTCTGAATATAAGATTGTTGCTGTAGTGTAATGGACTACTCCCAACCACAAGATGGCATTCCTAACATAATTTGTCTTTGTTGATAACATTCTGTTTCATTTTCTAAGAGAGCTACCTCCATGAAGAAACATATTAAAAGTTGTAAGGAAAAAATTTTTAAATAGTTTAATGAGTGGAAACAATGTGTTTAAAAAATATTAAAAATCAAACCAATTTTGTGTTAACATTGGATCTCTGGATTGGCTTCAGCAAAGTTAAGTTCTAAAACTAAAAATTGAAAACCAGAAGCAGTGACAAGAAAATAATGGAGGATTCAAAGTTCCCTTATTCACGTATTCTTATTTTTTTCTTTTGTTTTTAAGAATATCTGTTTAAGTGGATGATATGTTTAAAAAATAGAAGAGTGAACAGCTAAAAGTTCACCGTGCATATGAGTGCATATGAGAATGCACTATTTTTCTGAAAGCGGGACCAACAGTGCTAAAAAAAAAAAAAAGATGAATTCTGTCCTCAAGCACTATAGCTAGGGAGACCACATGCAAAAATGAAGCCACGTACAACACAAAAGAGTTCCTGCAAGATAGTTTATGAGTAAGTAAAAAATGAGTGATAAACAGTTAAGTGCTGTAAGGATTATAACAAAAGGAAAGGACTGACCTGGAATAGAACAGGTTTCACAGAGGACATAGAACCTGAAGTGGGTCTTGAAGGATGGGAAGATTTTCTAGGTGAAAAAGAAGGGGAAATATATTCGAGACAGAGGCCAGAGAAACATGTAAGGTGATATGTCCAAGAGAGCACCTGTGTTTGTGGTCAGTTGTTAATCTCACTGCCCCAAATTGTCACTTGATGCCTTCATTTCTTCTCAAACCCAGCTTCATCCTTCCCCTCTAAGCTAATAACCTTGCCTTATTCAAGAAAAATGAGCCACCATATCTGATGCATCTCCATTTCCCATCAATTGTATAAATCTGTGCACATTATTCTAGCTTTTCCTACTTCCGTCTGCCTGAATGAGTCGTGCTTGTCCTTCACATGTGCCATATCTCATCAGTCATCCCTGCTGTTTCTTCAGCCTCCGGTCTCTGATGGAACCTTTGTGTCATTCAGGTGCTCTCTCTTCATATCTTAAAAGCATAAGAGCAAAACAAAATTTCTGTAAACATTCACATTTCTTCCCATCTATTATTTCTTTATACTCAAGATCAGTGGTCTTCAAAAAGAGTTGTCTATACAGTCACATTTTCTTCTCATTTTCTCCAGTGTGTAAAGTCTATGTAAAGTTTGATGAGTAATCAAATACCCATATACTACCATCTCGCTCTTAAGAGTATGCTGTCTCCTCTTTGATGACATGCACTTCTCTCCCCCACAGGTAACCATTATCCTAAATTTTCATCATTCTCTTGTTTTTATACTTTTTCACTGCTTAGTTTTGCCTTTTTGTTTTGAATTTTAGGTAAATGGAGTCACATTGTATGTATTTTTCCATGCCTTTGCATTTTGCTTGAAAACCTTAAAATAAAAAAAAAATTAAAAAAAGAAAACCTTAAAATCCATCCATGCAAATGAGTGGAGTCACAGTTCATTGATTTTTATTACTATATAATATTCCATTGTATGAATACCACAGTCTATCCATTTACCAGTTAATATATATATAGACTAATTTTTATCTGTTCTTGTATGCTGTAGGTATATTGTTTTGTAAAACTTGTGTTGGAGACTAGTGAATATGGGCTTTCAAATGTTTGTGCTTATTTCCAAGAATATGTAAAAATAGATTTCATGTCTTGGTATTATTAAAAACTAGTGCTTTGTTTATGAAATGAAGAATTATTAAATTTCAGACTACAATTTCTAGCTTTAACTATCTTTGAGAAATTGTTTTATAATGTCATAGTGAATTTAAGATTTGGGGGGAAAATAAGATTTTAAAATTACATATTAATGGAAATCAAAATATGTTTCTGTCAAATTAGATGGTGGAAGGCAATAAATTGTTTTTTATGAGGTTTTTGTTGGATTGTAATACTTCACTTTGAAAAACAATAACTTATGGCAAATACTGTTTGAATCCATCAAATAATTTATAAACCTTACATAATTCAAACTACTTAATGTTAGTTTTCTTAAAAAGGCTATTTTCATGTGAATCTCAAACCCATAAAATCATAAATAGTACAGTTTTTGTACCAATCCAGGAACATGAAAAATCTCCATTTGAAATAGTTATCAGTATGGGCACCGTGTATCTACTCCAACCAATAAATCATTAGTTTTTCTCTCTTCCAACTTTAAAAACAAATAGGCTCTTTCCAAATTAAAGTTACCATAAGCTCTTCTGATTCAAAAAAGTAGAGCCAAAAAAATTGCCGGTGTTAAGTGAAAGGGATTGTCAGAAAAAAAAATCAGCATAATGTCTAGCAATATTCTGATCAATTGGCAATATTTTCATGAGAGCTCTACATCAAAAAGTTGAGTTTGCTTTCTACAGTAGGGTGCATTAATCAATTTAGCTTTTTTTCCTAAACTCTGAGTTCTTATGACTTTCTTCATCTAAGTGGTAATAATTGTCTTGAGTCACTGCACTGAAGTTACATGTGCAGATATGACACTAATTCAGGTTATCATTAGACACTTATTGAGAGCTTAGTGGTTTATGAAATGCAGAGTTGCTAATGGCAAGTTAAACTTCATTTATAAATATTAGAGGAGTTATGACTTAAATTACTTAAATTCACAATGAATTTTTTAAAATAAATTCTCATATTTGGTAAATGAGTCCTAAAATTGTTCAATTTAATATCATCTCCCAGTAAGTTTGAGGTGTTTTTAACAAATGCTTTATTATTGTTTTTCAAAATGGAAACTTTGAGATCAATATTCCAGAGTTTATGAGAAATGACAAAAAAAAAAAAAAGAGAGAGAGAGAGAGAGAAAAGCCTCCAGGAACCATTTTGAACAGATAGAAGTTAATTTTTTTTGATAAAAAGGTATGTTCCTGGCACTCTTTATGGCACAAATATTAACACGTTAATATTTAAATACTCAATAATTTTATTTCAGATTAAACTAGGCTTGTTTGTATAATGCAACATTAAAATGTAATTTAATTATATGCTCAACAATAGGTTTTCTTTGAAGCCATGTAAAAAATATTGTTTTGGGTATACTTGGCAACATATGCCCCAGACTGGCAATCTGTGTGATAGTAAGTACGTCATTTTCCTTAAAATTAGAGGCCTTCTATACTTTGTTTTGTTTACAGCATTCATTATCTCATGTTCTTATTGAATAAAAAGTATTTTGGAAAAATTTCTTGTATAAGATATAAAGTTTTTATTTTAGTTCTTTGAGGAAAGAACTTGAATACTCTCACCTGTTACCTAAGATATCTATCTGCTCTTTGGTCAAATTAAATGGAGACTCATCTGGTAGGACCTAAAATTAACATAAGGCTTGGTTTTGATTTGGGTTCTGAAAAGAATTATTTGTCGACTACATCTGTGTTTCCTTCAGCTACCTCAAAATTGGATTGACATTCCTTTTACCTAATTTGCGTTACTGTCAGTCTATGGTAACATATTGGCTACAAACTTGATAAGCTGCATAATATTTAAAACTGGGGTTCATAGAATTAGGAATTGAGGAAAGAGTGCTACGTAAGCTGGCCTTGGATTCACAAGTGGAGATATGTGGTGTGGTGAGATTAGCTGGCAAGAGGAAGTTTCTGATCTCCATAGGTTATGAGGATGTCAGTAGTGATCTATGATGTACTCTTTAGGAGAATGGAATTCATCTTTGAATTTCTACTGTAGTAAACACAATATATGATAGTAAATGTTTATGATAGTAAATGTTTGCCTCAGTTTCTATATGTGTTCCAGATGGATAATATTTATAATTTTCCCCATTCTTTGGAGAACAGTGATTGTTGGGATTAGTAAATAAACCCACTTTGGAATTAAACTGCTATATAAATTTTTATATAAATTGGACTGTTCTATAGCAACGTGGGTATTAATTCCTCAGCTGGGAGTATATGCCCTTGATCAGGAATGCTAGAATGAATTGAATGAAAATGGTGGTCTAATACATTCAAAATACAGATGGTTTATCCCTAGAGCAGCAGATTTCAAACTATAATGCACATCAGAATTAACTTGAGTGCTTGTTAAAAATACTGTTTCCCCGGGTTCAGCCTTAGGTTCTGACCCATTAAGTCAGAAGTGGTACCTAAAAACTTGTATTGTTTTTAATTATTTATAATTATGGGAAGATGCACATAACATAAATTTATCATGTTAGTAATTTTTAGGTGTACAGTTCAGTACTGCTATTCACAAGGTATATTCACTTGTGCAACCAATCTCCAGAATTCCTTGCAGCTTGCAAAACTGAAACTCTATACACAATAAAAAACTCCCCATTTCCCCCACCTGCCAGGCCCTGGCAACCACCATTCTACTTTCTCTTCCTGTGGGTTTGACTAATCTAGGTGTCTCATATAAGTGGAATCATATGGTATTTGTTTTTTGTGACTGGCTTATTTCACTTAGCGCAATGCCCTCAGGTTTCCATCCTCATTGTACCACATTTTGTTTATCCATTCATTTACCAACGGCCACTAGCATTGCCTGCATATTTTGGCTATTATAGATGTGGCTGCTATAAAAATGGGCATACAAATATCTTTCCAAGTACCACTTCCAATTCTCTTGAATATATTTCCAGAAGTGGAGTTGCTAGATCATATAATTCTACTATAATTTTTTGAGGAACTGCCATACTGTGTAACACAGATGCTGCACCATTTCCTATTCCAACCAGTGAGGGGCTTGTATTATTTTTAAATTGTGTTTTTAAAGACAAAGTTATACATATACTTAATTTTAAAAGTCAATTTTGTAAAACTGAGGAGATGGCAACTATCGTTCCAAAGAACCATCTCCTGGTGCATGAGATTTGAGCTGCTTCTATGTCAGGAAGGGAGGAAGTGGGAGGAAGTTGGAGTCAAAAGATGACTCATGTCTGTAGACATCGAAGAAGGCAATAAAGTTGAGTAACTTCTCTGTCCTTGGTCAGTTGGTCTTTGCGTACAGGAATCTGGTCGTGTTGTTCCTGTAAATCTTAAACATAGCACAGTCATTTCTGTACATGCTTCCTTATCTCCACAGGTGAGGCAGATTTTGGGTAAAAAAGCAATTTTTGCAAATCTTAGCTATAACATGCATACATGTAGGGCTAAGCAGGAGTTTCTAAGGTATAGGTCACAGCAGCTAGGGAAATAGAAGCAACATGGAGTCAGACATGCTAAGTTTTTCCCTAATAATATATAATAATATAATAATAATAATAATAGCATATTAATCTTGCTTTCAGGAAACTTGTTTCAACTTCATTTAACCCCTTCTCCCCAAATTTATTTGTCGATCAAAAGAAAATTTGTAAATATTTTGCAGGACGCACTTCAAAAAATGTCAGAATAGGTGAATATAGGCTGAGGACTTTGAAGAGGTTTTATGGTCATAAAGCAGTGCCTCTACACCATGTTTTTAAAAAGAGGAAGCAATTTAATCCAACCTATTTGAGAATGAAATAAAAACTAGACAATAATGAAAGTATAACATAAAATCTGTAGGGTGCAGCTACAGTGGAAGTTAGACATGTAAGGTCTGCAATGCTTTTAATATATATGTACATATGTGTGTGTGTGTATAAGCTAGAAAAAACCTAATAATCCCCCCAAAGATTTAAGAACTGAGGAAAATATCAATCAACACTCGTGACTGAATTACATGCCTACATTAATCATAATCATAGGTTGGCTATGGATGTAAAGGTTAGACAAAAATTAACTAAAGAATTATGTGAAAATCAGTTGGCTATATAGAATTACAGAAAAGTATTGTATATTTTATTATTCATAATTTTGCTATACACTGTTTAATCAGTAAAAGTCATAATAAATGTATACACACACTTTTTTTTTTCAGAGAGGCTTTTACTACCATTGCACTGAATATCTGGCAAACACAAAATATTACTTTTCTAAAATCTGAAAACCTTTTAATTCCAAAATATATACCCTATGGGTTTTAGATAAGGGATTATGAAGCCATTCATTTTAGCCCAACAGGGTTTTCTAATAGAACAGAAAATATGTGCAAGAAAATAGCATTTCTACTGGGTCAAGTGATGTAATTAAATGATTTACGATCCTGGTTTGACAAAATTGAGGATTATTAATCCTTATTTTGAATTTTACAAGGCTCAAGTCAAGTAACAGTTTTCAAAAAATAATTTTACTCACCCTCAATAGTATTTTTTTCTCTCCAACCTCCAAGCAGATTATTTCTCCAATCTGTTTGAGATTTTAAATATAATTGGTTGACATAATATTTAAACAACTGCCAAATCAATATGAGTCGTTACCAGAAAATACATCATTTCTTGTAAATTCCACATCTGTGTAATTTTTTCTTTAGTAAAGCAATGTAACTTAATCCTAAAAGATCCTAATAGCTTATTTTTTCACAGTATTCTGTATATTTTCCAGAAGAACAGTCATCCGGTCATGGGGTACCCCCTTTTTCTTCAATGTTGTAGCCTACTATGAAGAAATACAGATCATCTTTCTCTTGAGAAAAGTTGAATAGAACAATATTTTACTGGCAACAGAAAAAAGGAAAATATTAGTTTAAATCAGGTCAAGAGCATAAAATTTCTACTGGTCAAAAGTAGTACCAAAATGAAATAAAATTTTAGGACAAAAATAATCAAAACTAAAATATCCTTTGAAATATGCAGACCATTCTTGTCAAAGAGGAGAAAATACATGTGGGGATTTTATAATTTTGAAAGTGATTACACATATGTTATTTGATTTGATTTTCCCAAAACCTCAAATAGGTTGATGTGGTCACCAGAATGAAAGGTCCAGAAATTATGATTTGTCCACATACACACAGTTGATCAGATTTTGAGATATCTTCTACTCCACTTTCAGGAGAACAATGTATAGACTAGAATGCAAATTTACTGATTTATAATGATAGATATATTTTTCTAGGAACTATAGACTTACTCTTCTCCATCGAGGACTCTCCATTCCTTATATGAAAGTAGAAAATGGGCAATCAGTATTATACTTGATAAGCATGAGGGCAAGTCAAAGAAAGGACAGTTTTAAGGGATATTTCACTCACAATTTTCTGTGCTTATCCCATAATAAAGACTGTCTCTTTAGTGAGCATATTATTCTTATCTGTTTGACTCAAGGTCATTCTTCTCTGGGCAATGCTGCTGTCTGGACACACTGCTAAATTTTGATCTTTGGGTGTCGGTTCATTGTATTTCAAGATCACACATTTGGGTGAATATGTTCCTCTTTTGGGCTTGTTACAAAACAAAAAGTCATAGTCTCAGCACTTGGGAAACTTATGGAGAACTTTGATAAGTCATGTAAGCTATTGCAAGATCAGGACCAGATAAAAACACGGTGTTTACTGAGAAAGCTAATTAGATCTTTGTTTTCCCTTCAGACTGATGTTCTTCAAGTATCTGACCCACTTTTCTTTTGGAGAGAGACCACAGTTTCGTACAGACCCCTACGCTGCAAGCATGGTGCAGGGAAGGATGGAGAGGGAACTTTGCAGAGGATACTCTGTCCTATATTGTTCCAAACAGTTTAGCTCTGACTCCTAATTGGAAATTCCAGCAAAACAAAAACTTGGGAACTAACCAAATGTACCTTCTTTGGAAGGAAAGCAGTTTAGAAAACATTTATTGCTATTCAAGCATATTCTTGGGTCTTCTCAGACTTCTGATCCTTAGAAGCATATCAAAGTAGTTCTTTTAACCACATAGAGTATTGATAAACACAATGTTCTCTCTGCAATGTTCCTACTGAAGACTTAGTCTTCCTGAAGATTGGCGCCCTGGACGAGTACCTGGCTGACCCTTCCCTCATCCACTTCAGGCGATGATCACGTTCCAGACCTAAGGCTATTGGAAGAGAGCCAAGAAGAGAGACAGACATCCAAGTGAGGGATTCAAGAAGGTGTTCTGGAGGAGATGATCATATGAGTCAAACTTTAAAAGTCAAGTGACAGTTACATAGGTAAATTGGTGGATGGAGGGAAAACAACATGGCTTGGAGTACAGTATGTATAGTTGAGTTTGCCTGGAACAAAATGTGTGAACATGGGGTTATAAAGATGAAGCTAGAGGGACACCTGGGAGGCTCGGTGGTTGAGTGTCTGCCTTCTGCTTAGGTGGTATCCTGGAGTCCTGGGATCAAGTCCTGAATTGGGCTCCCCTCAGGGAGCCTGCTTCCCCCTCCGTCTATGTCTCTGCCTCTCTCTGTGTGTCTCTCATGAATAAATAAATAAAATCTTTAAGAAGAAAGAAAGGAAAGAAAGAAAGAAAGAAAAGAAGAAAGAAAGAAAGAAAGAAAGAAAGAAAGAAAGAAAGAAAGAAAGAAAGCAAGCTAGAAAATCAGAATCTATGAATTTACATTTTCTGAAAGCTAGGAGGTGTTACTGAGGGATTTTAAGAAGAATACCATAATCAACATTTTGTTTTAGAAAGATTATGCTGGCAATGCTGGAGACAGGGGACAGGAGGGGTGGAGGGAATGACCTCGGGCCTGAGACCAATTAGGAGTCCAAAGCATGGACTAAAGAAGTGTTAGGAGTGAGCAGTTTCAAGAAAAACTGGGAAGTCGCTTTATAGGATTTGGTGACAGAGTCAATGAGAAGGGCCTGGAGAGAGATTCTGATTTATAAATTAGATGGATGGTTTTATCATTCACAAAGATCATGAATATAGAAGAATGTGCA